GAAATTTGGAACACATATTTATCTCGCAAGTCTCAATATATGAACCAAATTTGTCAGGTTTATGTGAGAGTTTGACTTTCACTTTTGACCCCCAAAAGTGGCTCCAAATGATTAGTGTAAAACTACACACGGTGCTGCTCGCCAGTTCTCTTACTTGAACTCGGCTTTGACACGCTCCCGCTGGTCTAGATACTACTACACTTTGTGCAAAGTCGTCTGCGAATTCTATCTCATAGAAAAGAGCTTATTCCGTGTTAAAACGCCGGCAACGCACTTGCAATTTCCCTGGTGTCGCGGGTGCTCATGGGCGGCGGTAATCACTTACCATCAGGTGAGCCGCAAGCTCGTTTGTACCCTATGTTATAAAACAAAAACCATTTCTTTTTCAGCCGGCCGCATCGCAACTTTGCTTTGTAACCTGTTTTGGTTGTAAGGTGAGATCTGGCAGTTCAGGTACCGGGTCGGACGCATAACTTCTTAATCTTCCAATGGCTCTCTCCTTCTTAAATTCCGCTACATTATGACGTAATTTCATAGCACTCTTCATGTATATAATTATAATAACTTAGGACAATATACAGCGCCATCAAGTCCCTAATTAAGCAGAGCTTGTGTTATGGGTTATAACTGATATAAACACATAAATAAGACCGATAGAAACAATCATACTCATTAATCAAATATTTGTACCGTGCGAGGAATCGAACCCGTGACCGTGATCGGAAGTAAGACGATGTGCTAAACCGCTAGACCACCGAGGAAGGAGGAAACACCGTCAGTGCACCTTAGTGCAATTTCCCATCCCATCCAATTTTACATTCTCCCTAATTGATTTTGTGAATCTGTATTTTTGTACAGTACAAGCTCATTTGAAAAGAATAAGAGCTGAGTTTCTTATTACATTTTCGGGACTCGAAAGCACTCCGAACTGACGGTAGATTTGACATATGTCAAATATATATAAGAGTCTGTAACAGACCTACATGAATAATTTTTTTTTCAAGGATGACAATAGAATGGTGCACCCGGCTGCGCTAACGGTTTACGGTGGATGGTACTGGCACCAGTGGAGGATGATCAAATGAGCATGAGGTTAGGTCAGTGCCCATCGTGATTAAATAACCAGGAATTAACCACTGTTTCCATGGAGTGCCGCGTGGAGGTCGACATTGCTACCAATGGGGACACTAGACCCCATTACTAACCATCCCTTTCCCCCCAATTATTATGATTTGATTTACCACAAAATGTGTCAATTATTTGTTATTTCAAGTTACAAGAAATGCTTTTACCTGAAAACTGCGAGATGCTGGACAACATCGACAATCCTGAACGGCGGCTATTCGATGGATGGATCATCCCGATGGAACATATTTCGGAGTCTTCGAACTGCCACATGATTGATCAGATCCAGACTACTATTGTATACTCCAAAACCAAGAAACCGACAACAATAAGTACCGAACTCAACACATTTAACACCCTTTGTAAACTTAATTTGGAATACAAAGAGAATCACAATAAAGGGAATGTAAGGGTGTTACGAATTAACCTTCGCGTCAATACATTGATAAATTCCGACGCTCGCACAGCAACTATAATACTTTATCACAATTTATTAAAGCGAACATATTGGGAGATGTGTGGAGATATGCATAAGACTATCGTCCGCTCGCCACGGCGGATGCGGCGCGACTGAGCTAACAACCCGGATCGCGTCGGCGGGGGTGGAAATGGGTTGAATGGGGGTGGGTTAGACGGGGCGGGTGACGACGTCATGGGAACAGCGCTCCGGGCCCGCGGGATTTCGTACCAAGCATATCTATTGAGTGACTGCATTTAATGTCTGCTTAATTTCGTTTGTGCCCTTAAAGCCGAAAGGACTTATAGGGGCGTAATAATATCATGGAAAGTTGATATAATTCATTACGATACACTCGATTATTTTACTGGTCTGTACTGTTTTTATAAAAATATTTACAAAAGAAAAAAGCTCTACATATAGTCTTTTTTTCTTAGATTTACTGTAATATTATGTTACTTGGATTTACAGAAAACTTCTCTAAAAATCCAATAGGATTGCAGCCATTCCTAAATCAACTGTTATAGGAATATATGACCCTTAAACTTTGTTATTTGGCAGTTTGTATTCATATAACATACTTAAAAATATATTTCTGAATTGATTTACGATTTTAAACAGCATTTATTTATAAAAGCAATGCTCAAGCATCTTTCTCAGATGTCTTGTGATGAGTCTATGTTCCGATTGAGTGGTAGAGTATAAAAGTATATTAAGTTTATTTGAATAAAGATTATTTCTGCATACACTATTATATATCTTATGAATATTATAAACATGATTTTGAGTGTGGATGAATGTTTGTTACTATTTCACGTAAAAACTACTGAATGGATTTCAATGAAACTTTCAAAATAAAATAGCTTATACATCTATATAAATAGAATAACGCATAGGCTATAAATTTCACGCAAGTGAAACCGCGATCACGGCTAGTTACGAATATTAGAAAAATCCAGGAGCGAAATTATATCGACTAGTCATTAAGCTGACTTGTGTTTGACTTCTTGTACAGATAGATCAACAAAAATTGAGATGGACTGGGCACATGATTGGAAGCAAACCTGAAAAATGGAATACTTGTGTAACTGAATGGTATCCAAGGGAAACAAAAAGAAAAAGAGGTAGACCACAGAGACGCTGGGAGGATGAAATCAAGCTGATAGCAGGTCCCTACTGGAGAAGAGCAGCCCAAAATAGAGTACACTGGAAGGAATTAGAGGAGGCCTTTGTCATAAGGCACTCTGTACTGCGGGATATAATATAGAAAATGAAATTAATAATTAAACATAAAAAATTAAACTACTTAACAAATAATAATAGTAAAAAATATATATAATAATAATAAATTTATAGTATAATATAATAATATGAATGAACAGGAATGTAGAAAAAAAAATGTATAATAGTACAGAAATAAAGGCTTCTTTATCTTTATTAGTCATTAAGCAGTAGTCTATGATGTGGCTACTCTATTTCATTACTAAGAAGTATGTGCGAGGACTGTTACAAACAAAATTGGCTACATAAGCTACATGCGAGCACATCAACGGCAAAATTGGCGTTGAAGACAATTGTCGTGGCCGAAATCGGCCGGGATTACATCAATCAATCACTAAGACGTAATATTATTACTTCACAATACCGAAATACCAATCTTTTTAGATACCAGTGTAGGCTACCAAACTCCTTGCATTAACTAGCCATATCATACAGATACATTTAATAAAAAGTATATTGTAAAAATGTCATATATATTCGCTTGCTAATTACAGATTTAAAAAGATGTTACATTAATTATTATTCGTTATTTTTAATACCGATATTATATACACCGTCATATATTCAATCTTTTATTAATATCACCCCTTCTGTTATCAACACGGCAACCAAACCACACCAGCATCACTTCTAGAATTGTGTCAGAAGATTTGTGGAGTCAACAAGAGTTATAGAAAATATATTTTCTTTTTATGCTCTTTTTTTTTAATTTTATGTAATGTAATGTATGAAAAACAAACTAACAGCCCACTAGATGGTAAATAGAAACAGTTGCCTTTGTACATGAACAGGAAGTTAGATATGACACCATTGTGTGATGTCTGTGGAATACCTGATGCACTAGTCTGCAGGACTGCATTGTTATGCCATTGTAACTTATAATTTCGCTGCCATATCTCAACATCAAGGTGAGATATGACATACATTATGTTTACATTTAGTCTTGTTCCAAACACTGATTAGACTTTTTGCTTTTGCAATAACTTATGCTGGTGGTCACTGTATTCCCCCGAATATAAATGAATCTGTATTATTGTAAACTTGTACAACATTAATTTGAAAAGAATATGAGCTGAGTTTCTTGTCAGTTCTTCTCATCTCGAATTAATTTTGAACTGATGGTAGATTTGACATATCATAAGTCTGTAATAGACTTACATGAATAAAGATATTTTTAATTTGAATTTGAATTACAAAGCAGCAAGAGGTTAGACAGAGATACCAAAGCAGATAATGTTAACCTTCCATTGTAAATGACAATTTCACTGCAATGTTATCTGCACCCTATATCGGAACCTATGCTGAGTTGGTTGCCTCTTCAACTTTGCGACACCTAAAGCCACATCTATTTTTTTATTTGTACAATTTACATTTCTGTATCTCATATATGCAATGTGTTTGAAATTGTTAAATAAAGCATTAATTAATCTATCAAATCACACCTTACAAAGGGTGCTTGGAGGCTGAAATAGGTGAGATTGAGGTACACTATATATATCGCAACACACACTTATTATAATACTGGCTTAACTCAAAAATTACAAAGGTTGGAAAGTCCACTTTATAACTGTGGTATTAAAGTCAAATTTCAAAAATTTTTAATCCTAATTACACCAGTATTGTACTAGATATGTGACATGCAGACAACTTTTTACCGACAATCTCTGGTAAATATGGTTACTATATTGAAACTCTAGTATACACTTTTCATCAGAATATGCTGACTGAATACTACTTTTATGGGATATGCAACTCAGTATTATATATATTATACTATATTTTTACTATACAGTAACAGAAAGAAACAAGTCTGTATAATATCATTATGACAATTAATTATAAGCCAATATTCATACAACCGCATAGATAATGAATTTAATTTTTTTTTTAAAAAGGCTGTTTCTCTAATAAATTTCAATATAAATATATGAAAATTTATGTCATAAACATAAATGGAAAACCGTAAAAATGTAATAGCCCACCAAATGGAAAATGGTATGCATCAGCAGCTTCTACCGATGGCAGATCTTGTTCTCTTTAGGAGAGACAGAGGTAGGCAGGGAACTTTCTACAAAATTTCTCTCTGGTAAATATTTATATCTGGTAAATATTTCTTTAAAAAAAACAACAAACTTACCATAATCTCTATATAGTTTCTTGTATTCCCCTAAGTCATTCTGCTCCAACCATTCATCCACTTGTAAACTCTCGTCTTCAAATATTTCAGTCAAAACTAAGCGCGCCAAATAAACAATTAAACACAAGAATAATGTAGTGCCGACATAGTGGATTTGTTTAAACATTTCTCACAATTTTAATATTATAATCATGTTAATATTATTGTTTATTTAGATATAAATAAATAAACACGGACGGGATGGTTGAGGTTGTACGTTTTTGACATTTTATTGACGTAAACGTAAATGACAACTGACGTTTATGATTTTTTTTTAATCGAGGAAGTATAGAATATTGGCGCTATCTACATTCAGCTTTCAATAGCCAATTTAATTTTGTCATGTAGGCAGATCATGCGGGCTATACTCTCTACATCTTATTTCCCCTCATTACATCTGTTAAATCATATTTACTAAACAAAGCCACTCACTATACGATTACTTGAATGACGAGCGTGCATGGCAATCGTTGTTTATGCACGGGATTTTCATTTGTTAGACACCTTTAGGGAAAAATATATAATATAAAAAAATTTACGCTCATAAGCGACTAAAATGTCCTACATGAAAAAATGATTTTTTAATTTTGAATTTTACTTCATTATGTATTCTATGTTGTATAATAATTATTTTAATGCTGTAGCAGTTTAAAATACACCTTCACCTAACGATAAACAGCGCCGCTGTTGTCCGGCATAGATTCCAACATTCCCGCCCATGGATATAACTGTTTCTTGTTCTGGGTGTTTTGTATTTTAAATGCAAGCATTTGTAATACAAAGTAGTTACAGTTTTTATTTAGGAACTGTTTTTTTTATAGACATTGAATACCCTGAAAATTGTATTATGTTAAAAAAATTAATACTAAAACTGATAATGACCATAAAAACTGATTTGCCTGTATGCCTCTGGGTCAGAATCTTTATATTACGTGTATGAAATTATATCCTACATGAATAACAAAAATATATATATATAATAATAAATAACAGATTCATGCAGTTGTAAAACTGGTTAAATGTGTTAAAATAAAATTACTAAAAAAACCAAAGTACTACTAACCAAAAATTCCATTGAATTAAAACACATATCTTGAGATGTCCAATAATATTCTAATATAAATTGATTCGTCATATCACAAGGTGTGCTTCAACAGTCTATGATCTGAGTAAAGCGAAACATTTTCACAAATAAATTATACATCTTAAATTACTGAGATTTACTTCTTGATCTTGATTTTATCTGCTAGGGAGCACGACAGGCCAGTGCCGTCAGGTTCCACGTTCAGTTCTTCCACCTTGCTGTCGTTGATGACCATTGAGAAACGTTTGGAGCGGAAGCCGCCTAAGGGAGGCAGATTCGTGCCTAAATCGAGGGCTTTGATGAAGTTTCCACTGGGATCGGCGAGCATACGAACCTGGGGATACAAAAAGAAGCAATAAGTAATTTTTTTTTCAAGGATGATAATGGTATAGTACACCAGCATTCGCTAACGATTTACGCTGGCGGGCACCAGTGGAGAATGATAAGGTGAAAATAGGGTTTTTTTTTTAAAGGTGATAATGGAATGGTACACCCGCCTGCGCTAACGGTTTACGCTGGCGGGGTACTAGTGGAGGATGATAGGATGAACCTGAAGTCAGATCAGTTAGCCCATCGTGACAAATTCACCGGCAATTTATCACGATGGTTTCCAGGGAGAACCGCGTGGAGGTCGACCTGACATGGTACATTGCTAGCAATGGGATCATTAGTCCACATTACTAACAATCACCTTCCCCCTGAAAATAGGGTTAGGTACATCAAATTCACCAGGAATTCATCACGATGGTTTCCAGGGGGATCTGCGTGGAGGTCAACCAGACATGGTCAGGGGCGGATCTACCTAAGGGCTTTTTAAGCTGCAGCCCAGGGATACAAGGAGCAAAGCCCCAAGGATACAAAGGGCCCCCAGTGCCCACTGAACCCAATATTTAGAATATAAAAAAATATCTGGAATGTTAAAAAACCTATCTATATATATAAGGTTGGCATTCCTGAGATGAATCAACCCATGCAAGTGCGCGTCTATCAAAAGGAACGGGGAATTTTTGGTTGCTTATTTTTGGTCAGTGTATTTTTTTTAGTTAAGTAATATAATTAGGTAGGCTCCTATGTACATTTAGCCCAGGGCCCCACAAATTCACAATCCGCCCCTGTTCCCAATCATACTTAAAACAAGCAAATTTGTTTTAGATTCAATAAATGTTTGTCCAATTAACAACCAATTTAATATGAAAGGACAGCAATCATTTAGCATTCAGCAGTGGTTATTTTTACAGTCATATAAGCTTGAAGGTCAAGACTATCATGTATTGATTTTAGTGTTATTTTTGTTGTCATGCCACACAATGGACATAAGATATTTACCTATGTTGGTGCTTAAATTAAGCTTATCACTGGCCACACATTTAATGTATAATAATAACAGATAAAGACATTGTCTCCTGAACAAATATACTGTTTTGTGTTTAAAAACATGATAACACAAAGTTTCACATTTCACAAAGATACCTATTTGAATAAAATAATGTGTAAAAATAAAGAGTAGTTGTTAAATGTTCCATTTGTAACATTATCTCAATATTATAATTTGTATCATTTAATTGTTGATTTAATGTTGTTATTGTAAATGTATTATTGTTAATTTTAATAATGTAAATATAACTTTTTGATGTTGTTCCATTGCCTTTGGCCATATAAAAATAGTAAATTAACTTTGGCGCCAAATTTACAACAAAATAAACAATAAAAAAGAAAATAATATTGTACAGAGATTAGAGATTGAAGAGAACTTAAGAGCAAATATATATTGTTATATTTATTAGTTAAATATATTATAAAATTTTGAATTGCATATAATTGTTGGACAATTATATGTGCATGGACTTAAAGATATAAAGACATTGTACATATGTTTATGATGATTACACTTTTCATTGTTTGAAATGAAGATACCCTTTTAGTCGGTAGTTAAAACTAAATTACTCTTTTTCCTAAATCAATTTTGAAGTTTTTGTTACCAAACATGTGAACCTCATTATATCTTACCTAATTGTCACAAATCTAAAAAAAACTGACTGAGAGTGATCTATTTATCAAGTCGATCAGATCAGTCAATAAACCATAAAATAGCAATTATTATTTTTTCTGGATCAACTATAAATGATTTAATAAATCAGTTTGCCGAAAAAAGGCCCAGGGGAGTGTATATTTAATATGAATTGTTTGTAAAATGTGACAAACAGATAATTATTATGAATAAATATTTCTTTTAATTTCAAGATTTTTTTTTCTTTTGTAAGAAATCTTTACAATTTGCAAGGCCCCTAAAAAAAATTTTACATGGGGCAAAGCAATGCATGCTAGGCTTCAGGCTCTGATTAATATCCACATCATAAAAATTATTCCTCCCCATATATATAAATAAATAAATACTATTTATTGTACCCACACTAGTAACACACATTTTTTTTGTACATATATTTGCCAGCCAAAATTATTTTAGAAAAATACATATTTCGAAGTAATTAAACACAAATTAATATCTAACCTTTCCTTTAGTGTTATGCTGTGTGCCCCACGCAGCCATCACGTAGGGGTCGTTAACAGACACGCATACAATCTCAGCAACACCATCTGACTTTAATTTATCAGCATTTTGAACATATCCCGGAAGGTGAGTCTTGGAGCAGCCGGGGGTAAAGGCGCCGGGTACAGCGAACAGCACCACTTTCTTACCGGCAGTCAAGTCGCTAATGTTAACTTTATTTGCCGGCGAGTCTTCAAACAAGTCCAGAGATGGTAGCGGATCACCAACCTACAATATAGGATATAAATAAAAACTCATAGTTATGTAACTTTACGTAAATACACCATATTATGAAATTACCTGTATAGGTGCCATGGCTAACGAAGTGGCGTGCAGCGATCGGTTGGAAGGTTGCTTATTAAATGCAGCAATACCTCGAATAATTGCTGACCTCGTAACAAACATTGGTGACTATTATGTATTTTTTATTACTTTGACAAGACCTACTTTATCGATTCAATTTGACAGAATGATGAAAAAGATCGACCTTGAAGGTTTGAGTGAAAACACAACCTGGATAAATAAACATTTTGTCATTTTGAATTATGAAAACAAAGATGTCATTTTTATGACTTATGACTTTTTGACAAACGTTTTTATTTTAGATGAATAACATTAAAACGCTATAAACATTAAAGCGCATTAAAAGCATATAAAAATAATAAAACAAATATGTGTTTTAAATAATTCCGTAACGTTTTGGATTTTCAAATAATCGGAATTATGGCAACTATTCTTTTCCACAGATGACCTTTATGTGTTATGAAGTAAATAAATTTTATTTTTAATTCAGATAAGTAGTATATTATCAAAAATATTGCACAACAAAAATTTATCAATATATGTGGCTACTTATGTATTCTTAATAATATTTATTATTAGCATGAATTATAATTAGATGTGTTTAATTCACAGAGTGTATAGTCTATGGGAGTTACTAATTTACAGATACTGTTTAACTATTATCTGTGTATTTCTTTGTCTATGAATTGTTTCATTAAATCTTTTGGTTTGATTGCATTAAAATATCTTATTCCACGTTCTAGATATGAAAGCGTATTCTATTTGTGTTATGAAAGTGATGCGTTGAAACTATTAAGGGAATTATTGTATTAGCAATATGGAGGTTCCTTCTATGGATACAATTTACCAAGCTATCAGTGCTTTGTACGATAACCCTAATGTTACCGAAAAGGAAAAAGCCTCTCTTTGGTTGGGAGATATACAGAAATCTGTAAGTAATGCCTGTTTGCATGTAAATTAAATTGTTAATATTTATTTACTATATTCCTATGTGTAGCTACTGACCTCTTTGTAAAGAAATTTCACAACATATTGTTCAATAATTCACGTAATTATTTCTAGATACATTCTTGGAAAATAGCAGACGAATTATTACAACAGAAGAGAGATGTCCAGTCTTGCTATTTCGCAGCACAGACAATGCGTTCGAAAGTTCAACACAACTTGTCAGAGTTGCCTTCGGAAGCTGTTGTGTCACTCCGGGACTCGTTGGTAGATCACCTGGAGCGCACATCACCCGAGACGAGCAACGCTATCCTCACACAACTCTGTCTGGCGCTAGCCGACTTAGCACTACAAATGACAGGATGGCAGAACTGCACAGGGGACTTAATAAAGAAGTTTTCTAACAAAAATGACTTTGCACTATTAGAAATACTGACGGTTCTACCTCAAGAGATTGACTCGTCAAGTTTAAAACTTGGCGAGAACAGACGAGACGAAATCAAGTTAGAATTAAGGTCCAATTCTCATATAGTAACATCATTTCTTAAAGAAAGCATTATAAATTCACAAGATACTGTTGTATCATTAAAGATAGTTAAATGTATGACATCTTGGATTCAAGTTAGAGCGATAGATGTCCAGCAAATACCAAATAATGCTGTAATTGTGTTCTGTTTACAAGTGCTTAGGGATTACAATTCTATAAACAAACTACACGAAGCAGCATCGGACTGTATATGTGCATTATTGCATTGTTTAGAGGAGAATAACAATAATGAGAATATCGAGAGGTTGCTGTTTGAAAGTGTGTCAGCCTTAGAAGAGAGCTATCATATGGCAGTGGCTCATGAGGATGAGGAGAAGGCTGCGAACTATGCAAAAGTATTTACGGAGTTAGCTGAAACGTTTTTAGAGAAGATCATTGCAGCTACAGCTAGTGGGAATACACATTTTGCTATGAGGTCTTTGGAGTTAGCTCTTGTGTGTGTGGGCCACCATGACTATGAGGTAATTGAACAATGCATGCCATTGTATTTTAATTATCATTTAGAAAAAGTCAATAGGTCTTTTATGGGAATAGGTATAAAAATTTACAATAACATACCAAAGGATATATATACCCTTAAATAAATTTAAAACATCTGTTAAATCATATTTACTAAGCAAAGCCTCACTAAATGATTATTTGAATGTCCAGTATGCATGGCAATAGTTGTTTATGCACTGGGTTTTCATTTAATGTTAGACATAGAGACCTATATAAATATACATTGTAAATAAACTGGCTTTAAAAAAAAGTAATTCAATTGAGTTTAACATGATAATGATGAATTCTGACCCTAATTTTTGGCATCAGTGCCCCCTAGCCACATAATCATCATCTGCCCTTCCTTATCCCATTTATTTGTGGTCGTCGTAATATGTTTTTCTCTTCCATTCATCCCTGTTCGCAGTCATCTCGTTATTTACTCCCTTTCTCACTATATCATCTTTCACACAGTCCATCCATCTCTTTTTCGGTCTTCCTCTACCCTTATAACCATCCACATTCGTATGTGACACCGTCATTAGGATATGATCTTCATTCCTATGCAGGTATAATAAGGTAGACAATTGATATAGGTGGGAACACTATTCCATTATTACATTATCAGCCATCAATATTTATGTTCCTACTTATTTTGAACCTTATGCATTTAATACAGTATTAAGGTAATTGAGAGTTAAGTACCTTTATTTACCATAAAGTTTTTCTGTAAGAAACTGTTTAACTATATTAATAATTGATAGGAAAATGTAATTGCTTTTTAGGGATAAGGCTGCCCTACCTACTTCTTTATCTAGTTTACAAATTACCGACCCCTTTAAAGGAATTGCCATACACACAATTTAAAATACAATTATTTAATTATTAATTGACAAATGTTATTTAGGTATACAAAAAGTGATTATATAAACGATGTTGAACTTAATAACATAATTCATCACATTTTTTAAAGTTTATTCATACTTTATATATTTTGAAAGAAAGGAAGAAAGAAAATTGTTTATTTGGTACACTGAAAATAATTTTTAAAATTTAATTTACATTTTTATATTAATTATTACAGTACCAAATAGGTCTCCGCTCAGCATATCTCGTGTCGTGGTGCCACGACGCTGGTTTTCTGCGGATACCTTCATATATAATAAATATAATAAAATAATAATAATAATACACATACATATATGTAATTTTGTGTGTGTAATTTTTTTTTTTATAGTATAAGTAAGGAGCCAACAGAATATCAGAGTTATCTGTAGCATTATGCTGAGTTGGCTGCCTTTTCACTTTTGCGGCACATAAAGTCACCTACATTTCTTTTATTAATTCGTTTTTTTCTGTAACTCATGTATGTTATGTGTCTGTAATTGTGAATAAAGAATTTATCTATCTATCTATCTAACTATAACTATTAGGAAACATAATAATATGTAATAATATGTATAATATGTAACTTTAATTAAATTATATAAAGAATAATATATAATATATTACTTCTTGCTATAAGACCGCTTTTTGTACTTCCATATCACTTTTCTGTATAATTCTTATGTATTAACTAGCTGTTCCCGTGACTTCGTCCGCGTGAAATTTAACTTTATTCTTCTAAAATAAAAGTAGCCTAAGGAACTAAAAATTATTTTGTTCGTCTTAATTTATTCATTCCATTAGGTACTGATAGGTACTACTACAAACTAATACATTTACATCCTGCATCATCCCTTATTTTATCCCCATGAGGGTTGAATTTCTCGAAATCCTATTTAAGCGAATGTCTTCATCATACTAGCTCCAATCTTTAATTTCAGTTCAATCAGTCGAAAATCTAAGAAGATTTATACAAACTTTCATCCCTTATTTTATCCCCTTAGGGGTGGAATTTACCAAAATCCTTTCTTAGGGGATGCCTATTTTTTTTTATTGGCTTGTTTGGCTTGAGCTATTGTCAGATGTTTGTAGCACCTGTAGCACTGCGACCTACATAGATCTATTATGCTCGCCCTGAGGGGGAGGCCCTTTATGTATGCAAAGTCTCAGCCCGATTAGTTTAAAATTGACAAAGTTTCATATAAACTTAAATCCCGTATTTCATTCCCTTGGGGGTAGAATAAATCAAAATCCTTAGCGGATGCCTACTTCATAACATCTACCTGCATGCCAAATATCAGCCCGCTCATCAAGTCCAGTGATTTGGCCTGTACCTTGATAGATCACTATGTCAGTCACCTTTGAGTTATATATATATTTAGATTCTATTGGTGAAATAAAGAGTTTATAAATAAATAAATAGTAATAGATTAACTCAAATATGTATTTGTATGTCTGTAAAGACTAAAAGTGAGATCTATATAACATAAATAACAATATCATATATTATGTACTACTTTTATAACAAACAAATAAATTTCACTTCATTTCATTAATATTGTGTATGTAATTTTCTTTGAGAGGAAAAATAAAGAGTTTCATTCACTCAAAATTGTTTTACAGATTGCGGAAATGACTTTTAATCTATGGTACCGTTTATCTGAAGAGGTGTATCAAGGTAATTTCCAGCCTCTGACAGATGTATTCAAGCCACACGTAGAGCGACTAATAGAGGCGCTGGCGAGGCATTGTCAATGTGAGCCTGATCACACACATCTGCCTGAAGAGGGTGATGAATTTCATGTAAGTAAACCATTTTGTATTAGAAATAATAATGATCTCAGGACAATTCACACAGCGCCATCTAAACCCAAGTTAAGCTAGCTAAAGCTTGTGTTATGGGTACTAGATAACTGATACATATACATAGATTATTTTTGTAAATACATATTATACATAGAAAACACCCAGACCGATACAAACAATCATACTCATGAATACAAATGTTTGTGCGGAGGAATCGAACCCGCGACCATTGGTCGTAAAGCGGTGTGCTGGACTGCTTGACCACCGAGGTCGTAAGATGTAGATAATAAGATGAGAAACTAAGTGTAGGTCAAGCTTTCAATTTGTGTAGTGGTTGTTACACTGCTTTACTGATCATGGTCGAGGGTTTGATTCCTTGTAGCAAGCAAATTTCTGTATTCATGATTATGATGGTTTGTCTCGTTCACATTATCACATCACATATCACATTATATTTTCTATATGTATTGTGTATGTATCTACAAAAAAAGTTATTTTTAATCAGTTATCAAGTACCTGTAACACAACACCCCTCCGATCGGTTCCCTGGTAAATTCAAATTCAAATTCAAAAATCATTTATTCATGTAGGACATTTTAGCCGCTTATGAACGTCAAGTTTTTACTTTAGAATTTTTTTCCCTACCGTCCAGTTCGGTATATAGATCCAATTGAGAAGAACTGGCAAGAAACTCAATTGAATTACTTTTTTTTTTAAATCCAGTTTTTTACAATGCATAGGTATTTATATAGGTGTCTATGTCTAACATTAAATGAAAATCCCGAACATGAAAACTATTGCCATGCACACTCGTCATTCAAGTAATCGTTTAGTGAGTAATAGGCCTTGCTCAGTAAATATGATTTAACAGATGTTCGAACCACCTAACGGTTTTCACTACTTAATAGATTCATATTATTTTGTTTAATTCCGCTACATTTAGCATGTGTGAGATCACAAATATTTAGTGCAGAAACTTGACTACTGTTACGACCTCTAATGGTGATTGTAGCGGGATTTTTTATACGATGTTGTTGGTCGAGACGATGTATATTACAGATGGTAATAAACTGACAATATGTATATAGAAATAATGATCTTATATATACTAAATAACAATAGGAAAATGTAAGGTGGGGTGACACAGTTTAGACACAGCAGTGCTTAGTAGACAATATTGAATTTGTCTTAACTAGACATTATTAAATGCAATTATTATTTCGATGTATCTAGGTGACTCTGTCCCATAGTGATCAAATTCCGACCGTATTGAATCTACACCCATATTGCGACACGTGTTGCGCCTCTGAACGACGTATCATCAGACATTGAATAATTCGGATATAGCTTGGAAACCTAGTGTTAACTGTTAGGCGACCAAAAAGCGACAAGTTGAGTTTAAAAAATGTTATATGCTTTTTTAGAATGCTATTAAAGTTTTTTTTATTGGGTGGTTTGGGCTATTGTCAGGTGTTTGGACCTGTAGCACTGCGACCTACATAGATCTATTGTGCTCGTTCTATTTCAGAGTTCGCTACCTAGACCCCTCAGGGAAAAGAATTGAAGGATATTCTTAGGAGCGATGGTTTTTATCTCCTCAGAATAGAGTGTAAACTTTCCAAAGGAGATATTACGTTTATGCATGAGTGGGCTACAAAATGTATAGTAGCGTTTCCTCTTCAGTTTGGCAAAATCTGTAGATTTTACTTGTGGACAGGCCTAGGTTTAACATGCTGTATACCATAGTTACACATCTTTTTTTTTCTTTTAGGAGTTTAGAATTAAAGTAATGGGCCTAATAAAGGATGTAGTATTTATAATCGGTTCAAGTTCAGTGTTCCGGCAAATGTTTGCCGCACTACATGCGGACATCTCCTGGGAACAAACGGAAGCAGCTCTATTTGTTATGCAAGCTGTTGCAAAGAACATATTGCCGTGAGTATTGCTTGTCTAGTTTGCTGTATTTATTGTATTGTAACTAAAAGATGCAACTTGGTTGAGATTGAAAGCTAAAGTATTTAATAGTACTAGCTGACCCATGCAACTTTGTCTGCATCACACTTACTTGACACTTATCACTTTATTGCGCCAAATTTACACAATATCTCTTTAAATTACAGTCGATGTGTTATTCTAATGTATTCTGACTTTATAGTAATGTAAGCGATATTACAGTGAAGTTTCATTGAAATCCTCAACAACAAAACTCACTAATTTTTGCTTTTTTAGTATTACTATTTTAATATAAAATATATATGTGTTATTCTGATGCCTAAGCGATATTACTGTAAAGTTTCATCAAAATACGTTCAGTAGTTTTTGCGTGAACGAGTAATAAACATCCATCTATACTCACCAACTTTCGCGTTTATGAGATGGATTGATAATCTTATTGCTAGCAAGGTATCATGTCAGGTAGTCTTCTGGAAACCATCGTGATAAATGCTTGGTGTATTTGTCACGATGGGCTATGTGTTCTGACCTCATGCTCATCTTATCTCGCCAGTGTAAACCGTTAGCGCAGACGGGTGCACCATCCATTATCATCCATAAAAAAAAACAAAAACCACCTTAGTAACAAGCCATTTGACAAATCTATAATTTTTTTTTTAGAGAAGAATATGAATATGTACCAAAAGTCGTAGAAGCAATATTGTCTATGCCAGAAAACACGCACATTGGAGTTCGGAAAACTTGCATTTTGCTTCTGGGAGAACTGTGCGAGTGGATCGAGAGACATCCTGAAGGGTTGGAGCCGTGTCTGCAGTTCCTCATCAGAGCATTAAATGATTCACAGCTGGCTCCTGCAGCTGCTACAGCGTTACAGGTCAGTTTAGGCAGTAATCGGTTACGGTGGTCCAGTGATTTAGTATACTGCTTTACTATCAATGGTTGCAGATTTGAATCTTGCATCATATAATGAAATATTCACTATTTCTGTTATAATACGTCAATATTCGTAATTTTTTCAATATTCTCTTCAAAAGATTTTATATGTACTATGATAATAAAAACACAGAAATGTATATATGCTGTTTATATAAAAAAAAAAAAAATAATAATAAATCCATTTATTGCCAACATCAGCACAGTTACACAGCTACACATTTATACATATTTAACATGATTGGCAATAGGTACAAACTCAGCTATTGCCGGACTGATGGGTGTCCAGCGCTGGTTTTCAGTTTGTACCTACGCAGGCGTACTTAATCACACGTGCTAGATAACAATACCACAACATAATGAAATAAAAATTTAACAAATTACTACATAAATAATAATAATATCCATACGGATATTATTGGACACGTGACATGCATGCAATGCTTGTGCATCTACACAATAAAAAAAAAAATCACATTTTATGTCGAGATTTGTCAAATGTGCGATTCAAGATAGTCAGAATGTAATATAACGAAACTGAACAGTCAAAAGTAGCGCTATCGCGACGCTGGCATAATTCACAATCAGCGAGAGCAGCGGGACGTCGCTCCTTGACACTAAAAGGGTTACTAAAGTAGCGGCGCGGCGAGTGTGGATGATGATGTGAGATGTACGGCGTCAACAGGCGGTGTGTGCGGCCAGTCGCACCCGGGCCAGCGAGCACGTGCGGCTGCTGCTGGACGCGGCCAGCCTGCCGCTGCCGCCCGCGCCGGCCGTCGCAGTCGCCCGAGGACTCGCCGCCGCCATCGGCCGCCTCCCGCACCCACAGGTCTGTACTCACCTCCGTCAGCTCCAGCGAGCACGTGCGGCTGCTGCTGGACGCGGCCAGCCTGCCGCTGCCGCCCGCGCCGGCCGTCGCAGTCGCCCGAGGACTCGCCGCCGCCATCGGCCGCCTCCCGCACCCACAGGTCTGTACTCACCTCCGTCAGCTCCAGCGAGCACGTGCGGCTGCTGCTGGACGCGGCCAGCCTGCCGCTGCCGCCCGCGCCGGCCGTCGCAGTCGCCCGAGGACTCGCCGCCGCCATCGGCCGCCTCCCGCACCCACAGGTCTGTACTCACCTCCGTCAGCTCCAGCGAGCACGTGCGGCTGCTGCTGGACGCGGCCAGCCTGCCGCTGCCGCCCGCGCCGGCCGTCGCAGTCGCCCGAGGACTCGCCGCCGCCATCGGCCGCCTCCCGCACCCACAGGTCTGTACTCACCTCCGTCAGCTCCAGCGACCACGTAACGGTCAGCGATTCACATCTATATATACTTCCGTCAGCCCCACACATGTTTATATTTCCGTCAGTTCCTTACATCGATAACTACTTCCGTCAACTCCTCTCATTCATACTTAGTTCTGTCAGTTCCTCACATCTGTACTTATTTCAGTCAGTACCTCACATCTGTATCTACTTCTGTCAGTTCCTCTCAATTATACCTACTTCTATCGGTTCCTCATATCTATACTTACTTCTGTCAGGCTCTCACATCCATAACTTCTTCCTTCATACTCTCACATTTGTACCTACTTCCGTCAGCCCCTTATATCTATACCTACTTCCATTAGCCCCTCATATCTATACCTACTTCCATTAGCCCCTCATATCTATACCTACTTCCATCAGCCCCTCACATCTATACCTACTTCCGTCAACCCCTCACATATATATATATATCTATTTATATCCAGAATTCATAGATAGACACTTGGGATGTATTTCCACAATTCATAGATAGCTGTTCGGAACGTCAAAATAATACCAACCATCAAGTATAGTATATTATTTTGTGGTCATTCGAGCTGGATACTTGAGTTTATGGTCCTTCGAGCTGGATTTAAAATGATATAAAATAAAATTTAACTGATTTTTTTATTAATTTATATACCTCTTAAAGTGGTTGTCTAGTAAAATGAATATAACATATTATCATATATCAATAAAGAATAAATAAGTTAACAAAGTGATCGTTGCCGGTTTGTAGCTGTCGGCGGCGATGCTGGAAGCGGTGGAGGCGCAGACGGAGCGGCTGGAGGCGCTGCTGGCAGCAGCGGGGGAGGCGGCCGGGGCCGGGGGCGGGGGCGGGGAGGGGGCCGTGCGGCGCGGCGCCCCCGACGACCCCTGCCCCGGGCTGGACCGCATCGCCGCGCTGTTCCGGGACGTGGCCGCGCCCCCCGCGCCGCCCCGCCCGCACCCCTGCCTGCCCGCGCTGCGCCACGCCTGGCCCGTGCTGCTGAGGCTGCTCGCCAGGTACGACTCCCTCGTTAACCCTTCCCCGCTGCCTGTTCGCCAGGTACGATTCCCTCGTTAACCCTCCCCCGCTGCCTGCTCGCCAGGTACGATTCCCTCGTTAACCCTCCTCCGCTGCCTGCTCGCCAGGTACGACTCCCTCGTTAACCCTCCCCCGCTGCCTGCTCGCCAGGTACGACTCCCTCGTTAACCCTCCCCCGCTGCCTGCTCGCCAGGTACGACTCCCTCGTTAACCCTCCCCCTCTGCCTGCTCGCCACGTACGACTCCCTCGTTAACCCTCCCCCGCTGCCTGCTCGCCAGGTACGACTCCCTCGTTAACCCTCCCCCTCTGCCTGCTCGCCAGGTATGTCTCCCACCTTACCCCTCCCTACACCGCCTCTCTCTACCTGCTCGTCAGGTACTTCTCCCATCGTACCTCTTCTCCCCGCTTCGATAGTGCAAGTGCAGATGAATAGAATAGAATAGAATAGAATAGAAAATCATTTATTCAAATAAACTTACATTGAAGCACTTTTGAATAGTCATAACATTTTTTTTTTTTTAAACTACCGCTCATTCGGAATGCTGTCTCATCACAAGAAAAACAAGCAAGAAACTTGTGTGTTGCTCTTTTAAATAATTTATTATTACTTTACATTTTTAAGTTTAAGTGTGTGAATACAAACCACCTATTAGCATTAATTCAATTAAATGCTCAAAAAGAAAAAAATTTTGAATACATAACCAACTGGTTAAACAATTAATAAGAGGTAATCAGTCATAGTGATTAGAGCAGACCAGTCCCTACAAGCAGCACCCGTTCACGAGTATGACGGATGAGCCAGCCATCACTGCGCTCGACCATATTTTAGGGAGCCCAATGACCCGGCCCACCACGCCGCCACAAGTCTGGACATTTTAGTGAGCATGACTACTCAAAACACCAGACCACGTCATAGCTACTCACAATAGCCATCTGATGTTTATAGTATTCACATTTCACATAAGAATGCATGCGGCAATTAATACAAAACCCGCTACGCTTTCATATTTCTAAAATAATTGAATCAAGAAAGCAATGAGATAAACAAATTATAACGTTGTATGCTAATAAACTAGTTATTTACTTTTTATGTTGTCGTCTATGAATTCGTCTATCCTGTAATAGGCTTTCTTACACAAAAATTGTTTAATATAAGATTTGAATTGCCTCTCTGTCAGATTTAGTGCAGATTCTGGCAGTTTATTATAAAATCTTACGCAATTACCATAGAATGAATTACTGACTTTGTGCAGGCGGCATTTAGGTAAAATTAGCTTATTTTTATTGCGTAAGTTTCTATTTGTACAGTCTTTAAGTTTTCTAAAACTGTCTAAATTCTTCCGTGTATACATGATATTCTCATAAATGTATTGTGAAGTAACGGTGAGGATATTTGAATTTTTAAAACACTGACGTAATGACTCTCTTGAACCCATACCATAAATAGAATAGATAGATGATACTCTAAACCCCCGGAAGGACTTATGGAGTAGCTGAAAGCTAACTTCTTCTTGCTGGATACTACGTTAGGGCACCGCTAGGGATTCGAACCTCGACTCAGGCCGTCGTATTCCTCGACTCAGTAAAGTGGGTGGTGGGTGCGGGTTTGGCTTGGACTAATAAAAAGAGTTGGCGGTGTATTCAATGGATAATCATCCATGTAATGAACCGACCTGGTTAAAGCAGCGTTAAGCGGTCCACTCCACAAGTGGCGAGCTGTTGATGACGAATGACATCGAACTTATACCCCACTACATAATGATCACGACCGAATCAACCACATCGAATGAGAAAACCATGTAGAGTGTTCGAGGGTGAGGATCGGGTTAGGCTCGGGACATAAACAGAGTATAGGTAGAGCGGCGGCGGATGCAGGTTCGGCGCGGACGGTCGCGTGATGGAGCGGTGGTGCCGCGCGGTGCGGTTCTGCGTGCGCGCGGTGGGCGGCGCGGCGGGGGAGCTGGTGCAGCCGCTGGCGGCGGCGGCGGCGGCGCTGTACGCGGCGCGGCCGCACCCGTGCCTGCTGTACCTGGGCAGCGTGCTGGTGGACGAGCTGGCGGCGGCGCCGGGGCCCGCGCGAGCGCTGCTGGAGCTGCTCTCCGCGCTGGCGCCGCGCGCGCTGCACCTGCTGCAGCCGCCGCACGGCCTCCGCGACAACCCCGACACCGTCGACGACCTCTTCCGCCTCTGCATCAGGTACCTGCGGTTTTCAATTTTGAAATTCGAATTTAACTTTTTTTTTTTAATATCGGCCGTAACTAGGAAAATGTTAGCGGCTCCTGCGTGAATACATGTATGATTTTTGAAATTCGAATATTGTTTATTTAATATTGGCCGTAACAGAATAAGGTCAACAAATTTGAATTTAACTTTTTATCAAATACATTCACAGCCTGACGCAGTCCATCGACTGCTGCGTGTATACGTATATAAAGACCGGTTCGGATTTGATTTTCGAAATTCGAATTTAATTTTTTTTCCACTCGCTACCAGCAGCTGGACGCAGACCGTCGACTGCTGCGTATATATACATGTATAACGTTTGGTTCCGATTTCACTTTCGAAATTCAAATTTAACATTTTTTTTTATGCCGACTATAACTGATCAAGAACATTGGCTACTCTGAATGTATATAGTGACCGATTTGGATTTGATTTTTGAAATTAGAATTAACTTTTGTTTTCGAATTTTTAACTGATAATGATCATTGGCTGCTGAGTATATATATATATATATGTATAATATTGACATTGAATATAAATATTGACCACAGCTAGCCTTTGCAGCTTAATGAAGTGAGCGCAGATAGTACTGCAAATCTGCTAAATAACTCATGGAGCGCTAAAAGGCAACTTCGGCCTGACAAATTTTTAGTCTGAAAGCATCATTAGGAGTGTCCGAAATTCGGCTCAGGCCGTCGAAATTTCCATCCGCATTTGAATTGAATCATGCTGATCCTAGAATTAATAGCAGCGTAAGTAACGTGATCGGTGTGGTGGCAGGTTCCTGCAGCGCACGCCGGAGCAGTTCCTGTCGTCGGGCGCGCTGCCGGCCGTGGTGCGGTGCGCGGCGCTGGCCTGCAGCCTGGACCACCGCGAGGCCAACTGCTCCGTCATGAAGTTCCTGCACGACCTGGTGCGCGCCGCCAGCCATCCGCGCCCGGACCACGCGCGCGTCACAGGTAACCAGCTCCGGGACCGAACCTGTGGACCCCACATTGTGGCCGCGCCACCTGAATGGCGGTCGGTCGGTCGGTCACCAAACATACCGCGTGTGCTAATCTACCATTTTAGCATTCATTACCATTTACGAATAAAGTAAATGGTAATTGTTATGAAAACAGCTAACGTAAAATTTTGAATTCAGCTGTCTTTAGTGGACTGTATTTACGACAATTGGATTTGAGCAAGATTGATAATTTGGAAGGCACTCACCTTGTACTGCGAGGATTGCCGGTTCGGTTTCAGCAAGGCTTCCCAGAACTCCGGGCTTGTCCGAACTTACCTTTTGAACGGGTTACCTGTTTACCGCCAAAACCGACAATAGGTGCTTTCCAGTATCAACTTGCGTTCCTTTATTATTTCGTTAAGAATATTTAGTTAAGAAATCTATATAAAATAATTTAGTTAAGAAATCTATATAAAATATCGACAATTACGACAATTACGACAGCGATCATCAGAACACTTTTTTCGACAACGACAAAAGGCGAAAACGACTCCCACCCTCGTAATCTCTTTTTATTTTTTTACTTTTTTTTATTATTTACGGCATTGGATATCGCGATAATGTTGCCGTGCGTATTATTGTGAATAGTGAACATTCCGCCCACCTAAATGCAACGTATTTAAAGCGAAATAAACAAAAATTAAATGTGACAACAAAATAAAAACTATGGATCCTAATATTGATTGACATATTTTTAAACTAATTTTAACTAACTAGTGTGGGAAAAGAAAAACAATAATAACAAACAAAAAAAAGAATTACACATTTTAATTAGCCATAGGTAAAGGACAAATTTTAACAACTGGTCGTTTGTATTGACCAGTCGCAGTTTTAACTGTCACTACCCTACAAACACCATCAATTCCTGGGTGTAGAGCGACAATGCGACCCATAGTCCATTTTAAAGGACTCGATTGTTCATTTATGATTAGTACTAATGTGCCAATAGTTATATTAGTGTAATTTTTGTTCCATTTAGCTCTTTGATTAAGCGTATGAATATATTCACGTTGATAACGGCGCCAAAAGTCCTGATGCATTTTCTGAACTAACTTCCATCGTTGGAGAACGCTAATAGATTGATTAGTAATATTCTCTTCTGGAAGGGACGACAAGGGTTCTAATGTCAGAAAGTGACCTGGTGTCAAAACCGACAGATCATTAGCGTCACAGCTAATAGGCGATAGAGGTCGAGAATTCAACATAGATTCTATTTGTGTTAAAACTGTATAGAACTCCTCAAAGGTCAATCTTTGAAGACCAATAACTCGAGCTAGATGAGTTTTCACCGATTTTATACCCGCTTCTGCTAACCCATTAAAGTGTGGACTACCAGGAGGGCTTAACGAGAATTTAATTTCCTGAGTTTCTGTTACCTTTTTCATAACCGAGTCAAGATAATTGCTAGCCCCAACGAAATTTCTCCCCTGATCCGACACAATATGGCTACAACGACCTCTTCGCGCGATAAACCGCTTCAACACAGCTAAAAAGGCTTCAGTAGAAAGTTCCGACGCCAACTCGATGTGGATAGCTTTTGTGGCAGCACAAATAAAAACACAAATGTAACCTTTATACGTTTTTACGCCACGACCCCGACCTAATGCAATATCAAAAGGACCCCCGTAATCAACCACAACGTTCGAAAAGGGTTTTAACTGATTAACACGATATGTAGGCAGATTTCCCATAAGAGGAGTTGGAGCTGGTTGAGGTTTAACACGAAAACAATTTACACAATTAGCGATCACAGAACGAATCGCTCTCTTCGGCGACAAAATCCAAAAACTTTGCGCGAGAATATTAAGGAGAGTCTGTGCACCAGGGTGCATAAATCTCTGGTGACAATCTTCAATTATAAGTTGTGTGAGACGATGATTGCGAGGTAATAGAAGGGGATGTTTGATACTATAATCTACTTTAGCATTTGCCAAGCGTCCGCCCACCCTGACGAAACCCGCATCATCCAGAAATGGCGACAACTTACGAAAGTTTTTGGGTAGAGAATTTAACCGACCATTCCTAATCATATCAATTTCCTTAGAAAATGTATGTAACTGCACGTGTTTAATCAAAAACATTAAAGATTTGTTTATTTCTAACGACAATAAAGGACCAACAAAAATTTTATCAAAATTGTTTTTACGAGAATTATGAAGGAATCGAAAAGTAAACGACAATACACGTTTCAACTTTGATAACGACGAGAATCTATTTATTAAGCAGTCAATAAAATGGACTTCAGAAGAAGTATGAAGACACATAATCTTCTGCTCTGCTTGCACATCAGCAGAAGATGGAATTAATGTAGACTCCGGCCAGTTTTCGTCTGGTTCCGAAAGCCATTTAGGTCCATTCCACCAATTCCCATTTTTAGCTAGCTCAGCTGGATAAATGCCACGTGATCCGACATCCGCAGGATTAAAATAGGTACTGACATGTCGCCAACAATCAGGAGAGATAAGTTCCTGAATGTGACTAACTCTATTAGCAACAAATGTATGCCATCTGGACGGGCAGGATTTTATCCACGACAAAGCAACACTAGAGTCAGACCAAGCAACGATATCTTTTATTTCACACAGAGGTTTTAAAGCACTTAACACCGAACTCATTAAATCTGCTAACAAAACTGCAGCTTGCAATTCCAGCCGAGGTAACGATAATTTACGAAGTGGTGCGACCTTAGTTTTTGCACAACAAAATTCAACAGAATAATGACCATTTGTATCGACAGACCGACAGTAAATAACAGCACAATATCCACGTTCTGAAGCATCACAGAATCCATGGAGTTGTACGGAGACGAAAGAACCTATCATACGACGGGTAATTGAAATAGACGACAAAGACGAAAGTTGTGATTTAAATTTCGACCACTGCTTAGCTATTTCCAGTGGCACATCGCTGTCCCAAGAAACACCTGAAGTCCAGAGTAATTGCATAAGAAACTTAGCATAAAATGTTACAGGACCGAGAAAACCCAACGGATCATAAATACGCGCAATATCTGATAGTATGACACGTTTCGTGAGCCGCCTCTCTTCAAATTCAGCAACCCTAAAAGTAAAACAATCTAAATTTGGTATCCACAAAAGCCCTAAAATTTTAAGTGTGATATCCGAAGTCTCTTCGAAGCTCTTAAATTCCTCTGAATACAAATCAGATGAATCGAGATCATTCAAGAAAGCTTTGTGATTAGAAGTCCATTTTCGTAAATGGAACCCATTCAACGACAATATTTTAGTTAGTTCTGATCTTATGACTAAACACTTTTCGATGGAATCAGCTCCTGACACAACATCGTCAACATAAATATCACGGCTAAGCACAGCTGATCCCGTTGGAAACTCAGCAGCGGCATCCTCAGCGATTTGAGCAATAGTGCGGAGTGCTTGATAAGGAGCAGAAGATACGCCATATGTGACTGTAAGGAGTTTATAGTCACGAATAGGCTCATCAGGAGACGATCGCCACAACACACGTTGATACTCCGAATCCTCATCAGAAATCAAAATTTGACGATACATTTGTTTAATGTCACCTGTAAACACTACAGCGTGACAACGGAAACGCAACAATAAATCAGTAATATTTAACTGAAGCTTAGGACCAGATAAAAGAGTGTCATTTAAGGAGATACCATTAGTATCCTTAGCGCTGGCGTCAAATACAACACGAAGAGGAGTAGTCACGGATTCAGGCCGCAATATACCATGGTGGGGAATGTAGTAAAACTTACCAAGATTTTCAGATGGAGGTTTCACTTCCAAAAGATGCCCACAATCTTTATAATCTTGCATGAAAGAACTATATTGCTGGCGAAACTCACAATTTCTCTTTAATTTATTTTCCAACGACAAAAACCTTTTCAGGGCTATATCTCGAGAATTAGAAAATATAGGTTTGCTATTAGGATCGACAAAAGGTAATGGAACAACAAACCTACCTTCCCGATTACGACAAGACTTTTCAACAAAATATTTCTCGCATCGATTGTCTTCCCTAGATAAAATCTTTGGTAACGATGCGATACCTTCCATCTCCCAAAACCTTCTAATACAATTATCTAATGACAAATTCGATATATTACATTGGGAAGTATCTGTTATAAGGAAACAATCCCCACGTGTATGGTGAAAACTATCAGTGCCGTTACATTCACCCATTAAAATCCAGCCGAAGACCGTCTGCAATGCACACGGCTGCCCTGCGACACCTCTTTTCAAACCAGGTAGTAAAGATGATACAAAAATACTAGCGTTCAATAAAATATCAATTGGTCCTGGGCAATCGAAATCAGGGTCAGCAAGTGGCAATTTTTTTATATGGTACCAATTTGAGGCATTAATATGCTGACTTGGTTGATCGGCACAAATTGACGACAACACCAAAGCTTTGAATTTAAGTTCACTTGATGAGAAGGAATTCGTCGGCTTTATTTCACAAACAGATAATCCAAGTGGTTTTGCTAAAGAATGACCAATACCATTGATTGACTGATTTGTTTTAGTTATAGGCAATTGTAACCTCTTGGCACAGGACTCCGAAATAAAATTACAAGCACTTGCGCAGTCTAATAACACACGAACGGTTTGATAATTACCCTGTCCATCCTTTATTAAAACTTTAGCTGTAGAGAATAAAACTGTTTTGCTATGACTAATATTTGCTATTGAAGTCAAAACAGTACTACTTGAGGCTTTTTCATCGACAACAGGAGCTTCAGGCTTAGGTTTATCAAAATGCAACAATGTATGGTGAGAATAATTACAGGCTTCACAACGATAAGTAGCACGACACTGTTTTAGGGTGTGATTATTCGAGAAACACAATAAACATAAACGATTTTCTTTAACAAAATCGAAACGTGATTTAACACTCAAGCTTATAAAATTTTCACATTTAGCCAGAACATGCTGTCCTTTACAAAATACACAAGCTGTATTAGACACTAAAAGAGATGATTTTGCCTTAAATTTTAATTGATTACCAACTTTGTATAAATTCGGATTAAACTTTGAACCCAATGACAACGAATTAACACTACTTAACTCTAAAGCCCTATAGTGTTTTTCAATAAAATTTTGTAGATGTTCAAACTTAGGTATACTGTGAACATCTTCTGTATTCTGTTCAAGTTGGAATGCTTCCCTTGTAGATTTATCCAATTTTGACCACAACATATGGAACAACATAAAATTCTTATCTGGCAATTTATATTTATCTAGAATAGCCAAATTTTCTGAAAATGTACGATAAATGCGTTCAAGTTCTGAACTGGTCTTAAATTTAATGGGTTCACAATGTAGCAACTTCTCATAATAAGCTGTAGCTATTTGTCGCTGTCTGTTATAATATTTCAAAAGAGTTTCATAAGCATTTAGATAATTTTCATTAGTGAGAGGATAATTCTTAATCAAATCGTAAGCTTTACCCTGTACACTTGACAATAAATAATGTAACTTCTCCACATTTGATATACTCGTCCTATTATGAATAAGTGAATTATATAATTGAATAAAGGAAATCCAATTATCCAAATTACTATCAAACGGTTTTATATTGATTTTGGGTAATTTTACGGAAACTTGTGGTTCACTGTTATTAACATTTATATTAGAAATAGATTTTTTATCTATAGAATTCATTTCTACAAATCTTTGTTTAATTTGTTTCATCTTTGTATCAAACTTAACTGTAATTTCAAGTTCATTGGTACGCTCTAAACGGTTCAACGATAACAACAATTTTCGCTGCGATGAGTGAAATTCGTTAGATAAATCCCTAAAATCTACTTCAGAGAGCCCTAACAAATCAGATTGCTCCATAATTTCCAATCTCATTACCGCATAATCACGAGAAATTCGGTTTATATCACCAGTATCAGATTCAATGTCTTTATTAGTTGCCATGGTATAAATACTCCAAATTAATAAAAAAAAATTAATTAAAATCAATAAAACGATAATTACGTGAAATAATTTACAATTAGATATTTTTACCCAATAATACGCAACGAAAACAAAATCGATCGATTTAAATTTAATATAATCGATATGGCTGTATGTGGCTGGTCTATGCCTCACGAAAATTCAAATTATTAAAAAAGTTAAGTTACACTATAATAAATTATCTACCTTCAACTACAATGACTTTTATTGAATTATATTAAAACGAACGCAATAATAATTTATTTTACTCGACAAAATGTGTAAAACAAATTAACAACAATAATTATTATGTCGCCTATCAAAACTATCCGGCTGAAGGGCCAAAAAATGTTATGAAAACAGCTAACGTAAAATTTTGAATTCAGCTGTCTTTAGTGGACTGTATTTACGACAATTGGATTTGAGCAAGATTGATAATTTGGAAGGCACTCACCTTGTACTGCGAGGATTGCCGGTTCGGTTTCAGCAAGGCTTCCCAGAACTCCGGGCTTGTCCGAACTTACCTTTTGAACGGGTTACCTGTTTACCGCCAAAACCGACAATAGGTGCTTTCCAGTATCAACTTGCGTTCCTTTATTATTTCGTTAAGAATATTTAGTTAAGAAATCTATATAAAATAATTTAGTTAAGAAATCTATATAAAATATCGACAATTACGACAATTACGACAGCGATCATCAGAACACTTTTTTCGACAACGACAAAAGGCGAAAACGACTCCCACCCTCGTAATCTCTTTTTATTTTTTTACTTTTTTTTATTATTTACGGCATTGGATATCGCGATAATGTTGCCGTGCGTATTATTGTGAATAGTGAACAGTAATTAATGCTAAAATGGGAGATAGTAAAATAAATTATATTTTACGGTGTAACTTTTCGATTATTTAATTATTAGTATATTAAATTAGACGTTCATGTGCAGTGTAATAAAACTGTACAATCTGTATTATCGAGTTTATCAGCTTATACAATTGTATGGACTGGTAATTTGAACTTCTCCACTATGATATAAAAAAAAAAATGCGAAACGGCGCAGTCGAATATTATTACATCAGAATTAATTTCCAAGGGAAGTAAGAAAAGTGTAGAAATTGTCGATGTACAACTGTTTATGTTCGTGTACAGCACTGGCCAGCGAGGTAATAACGAGATATGGCGAGGATATCACGTACGCGCTGATCGAGTCGAGCGTGCTGCACCTGCACTCGTACATGCTGGCCGAGGTGGCGGAGGTGCTGCTGGAGCTGCTGCAGTGGCAGAAGGCGGCCGGCGTCGACTGGCTGCAGCCCTCGCTGCAGAAGCTGCCCCGAGACCGAAGCGCCACGGCCACCGAACAGCAGTGCTGGCAGTTCCACCAGTATGCCATGAGGTTAGTATCCCCTCCGAGCGATCCCCCGTCTAATTCACATGTATTTTTGGTAATGCAAATAATAAGGCCCCATTCCGTCCCGCTATCACACACACACACACACACGACACCGTCCTCGCCGGCGAAGACGACGACCTCAACCACACCATATCGCGCAACCATCCAGGCTTTCTACACGGCGCCCCCGGTCGCCCCTCCGATCGAACCCCTGTCGTATTCAAACGGAGATCGAAATTATGACGGCCTGAGCAGAGGTTCGAAACTATAGAGCTGCCTTCATACTAAAGTCATATCCGTCAGGCGGGAGTTGGCATTCAGCCGCTCCATAAGTCCTTCAGTGGGTTTGGAGTGCCATCAGCACTCGGTCCTTATCGTTCCGTGAAGCTGTAAAGACCTGTTGCTGTTAACAGCATTATAGTTCGAAAAAAATGAGTATCTTTAATTTATAGTCGACGTCGACATTGGTACTTCTTGATTCTCTATTATCTCCTACTATCTTATCTTCTCGTTTTGATTCAGAAGAGAAATTACAGGGTAGGAATGCATGATATCTTATTCCTTCAAAATATCATGGAATAGAAATAGATTTAGATTCTCAAAACAAAATATTTAAGTATTTATATCAGTTGTATAACAACCATAGTACAAGCTCTGCCTACCTTGATATGACATTGTGTGAATTGTAAAAATAAGTATTTAATTAATTTATCATATTTTATTACAGCGCTGAAAAATGTAAAGAATTAACGCGGATACTGCGCGACTTCGCGAGGCTGTACCGGTAAACCACAGGATTGAACCTGCGACGTGCACAGTAAAAATCGGCGTCCAAGACTGATCGACACGGTGACGGCGAATGACAGACTTTGCATAGTGATATTAAACCGATGAACATTATTAGATCAAATTGATTCATATACTGCATGTACTTCCGGATATAGTGTAGATTTGTGCTGAGTTATAGCAATTGTCATATCACAAGCAATAATGTTACAATTATGTATTATGATTAATTTTCGAATTGGTTTAAATAGCGTACGAATAAATATTAACATCTAATAAAATTAAGAGTAAGTGTTCTTTATATTGCAAAAAAATGTTAAACTTTAGTCAAATATTGTTATTTTTAAACTTTCGTGTTTAATATACATTATTTATATTATTAATAGGGCCTTAACACGAATAATTTTATGGCAAATAAAGGTGTTTACCTATCGAACTTTCGACTAGGTTGCACTAGCCGTGGTCATGAGTTGACTGGAGTAAGCGATGTCAATGTAGATAGATGAGTTGCCAGACAGACAGTTTTTCATCTACCGTCACTAGATTCTTATGAATGACCATGGGATGGTGCACCTGCCTGCGCTAACGGTTTACGCTGGGGCACCAGTGGAAGATGATAAGATGAGCGTGAGGTCAGTCAGTTAGCTCATCATGACAAATTTACCAAGAATCCATCACCGTGATGGATTCTTGGCCTCCAGGACGAACTGTGTGGAGATCAACCTGACATGGTACATTTGCCAGCAATATGATCATCTGTCCACATTACTAAGTCTCCTTTCTCCCCACCGTCATTAGATTCTTCAATTCATATGGAACATTTCTAGTAGAAAGACGTAAATACCTTTATTTGCCATAAACTTATTCGTGTTAAGATCCGGTTAATAATATAAATAGTCAAATATTGTTAGTAATTCGCTGATTATCGATTTGATTTATAGTTACTAGATAGTAACTTTGTAGATTTTTTGCATGGGCTACTCTGTCTACTATTTAGCCTGGTAGTTTTTGGCAGTGGTATTAGTGGGTGCGGAGGTATATTTTAGTCATCAAGAATAACAACATACTAGTAACACGATAGTTGCGACTTTACATAAAGTCTTAACTGCAATTGAGGTGCAATTGAGGCACGTAAAACCAATGTCATAGAATATTTTGAATCATTGACTTCATTTAAATTGCTGTCAGTTTTATATATATGATTTGAATCGCCATCTATGTACATTATAACATCGTTATTGGATTTCTTTAATTTTACTTGGGACAAATCAAAATAGGACTACCAGAATGTGTTAGGTAAGTATGGACACTCTCTATTGATAAATATATTTTGTTATATTATTGTACTCTCTTTAATTTAAATGTGATAAAGAATGAATGATTTGTAAATATTTATTATAAATGTTTACTTTTATACATGTTTTTTATTAGTATCAACACTTTTTCTTATTTTTAGGGCTCGACAATGTAACAAAGTTTACTCTTCTCGGTGCCTTAGGGCTCGCTGCACTTGTAACCAGCACTGGTTCTATTATGTCTGTCACTTTTGCTTGTTTCAAAAAGGAGTTGGCCTCAGTCTTGGGACTCTGTTTAGAAGTTAACTTGTTTTGTGGTGATTTCTGTGTCTGCTTAGTCTTCCCACCAACGTTTGGACTCTCTTTACTAGTGCTTTTAATTTTAGGACTCTTCCTAGGGGACGCTTTTTTGCTTTCTGAGATTTTGGACTCTTTTGGAGACTCAACTAGTTTACTTTCAGTGTCTTCGTACACGAGTTTTATGTCTTCACTGTCTTCAATCTGTATAACTTCTGATATCTTTTCACTTACTTCAGTCTCCACTTCCATTGACTCTTGTGGCTTAATGAGCTCATTGTTAGAGTTATCGGACCACGATGGCATGGCTACTTCCTCTAAAACATCTATTTTAACAGGTGTCTTTGGATCAGGTACAGATTTTTGTTTTTGGGAATTCTGTGTTGGCGCCTTAAATTTAATGAAAGAATCTATCTTCTGTAGATTGTTTGGTGGTTTACTGTCTTTTTCTGGTGTCTTCTCTTTTATCTCTGGTTTCTGTGGCTGCTCTGGAACCTCTACTTCCATTGGTTCTATGGAATAAAAAAATCTTAATTTAGTAAACATTGTCTCAACTATGTGTTTTCACTTTATTATAAAATATGGTTCGATAGATATTTTAAAGGTTATAGACTCGCTAATATTTAAATACTAATAATAGAGTTGTTTTTTTATTTATTGTTGTAATAAAACAACACAAATATCATTTTGTGCCGTGCTTATAGTAGTGTTAGCGCAGGCGGGTGCACCATTCCATTATCATTAAAAATATGAAATATTACCTGAAGTTACCGGCGCTTCAACCTCGTCAGGCAGAACCTCTCCGAGCTCTCCTTCACCAAATGTGATGACTGAACAGAATCCGTCGGCACTTGAGGCCACCAGTATACGTCCGTCGGGAGACCACGTCAGATCTGTTAATCTGCAAAGATAAATAATAATCATTTATTTAACATAGCATAATAAGAGTAAAAATATAGAAAGTGATATCGCGCTATGAACTGTAAGATAAAAATATGAAATATTACTCCACTCAGTTGGCGCCGCAGCATGTCACTGCAGCGCTGATTTTGAGTGGAGCCACTCGAAAGAAAGAAATTGCATTCTTGATATTGACTTTAATTATATAAAATGTAATGTAAGAATATTATATATATTTACCGTATTGTTAAAGTGGTTTAGTACACCGCTTCGCCTCCGGTGGTCGCGGGTTCGATTCCTCACGGTGTAAGCATATATTCATGTGTATGATTGCATAGGTCTAAGTGTATTACTAGTTATATTTTTTTAGTCTGCCACTCATTCGGATCGCAGACGTAACTTGATTACAAGAAGAATGAGTAAGAAACTTTCGTGTTGCTCTTTTTGGAGATTAGCAACATTTCAATATTCAATTTTATTTATTTGTATAGATACGCGACTGTACTTTTATCAAGCTGTACATATCGTCACAATGCTTACCTTGCATAATGAATATTAGATATCAAAGCTAGAGGCGTCTTCTGCTGCGTGTCGTAGAGCATGACGGCCCGCTTGGTGGCGATGGCCAGCACCATCCGCGCCCCGACCGGGAACGCAACCCGGGGCCCCGCCGCGCGCGGGGCCCAGCGCCGCGGCGACCACCGCACCGACAGCGCGGGCTCCCCGCACGGCACCACGCATGCTGGTCTGTTGGATAATATTTGCGTTAGGAAATGTGTGGAAGCCAGGGCCGGACTAAGCAAGCTTAGGCAACCCTATTTTAGACCCCGAAAATAAGGTTTTTATTTAACATACGCTGATAATCACTATGTTGTCTTAAATTCGAATATAAAAATGAATCTGCATTTTTGTAAAATGTACAAGCAAATATATGAAAAGTATAAAACTGAATTTCTTGTCAGTTCTTCTCAACTCGAAACCACTCCGAACTGATAGTACAATTGACATATCGTAAGTCTGTAATAGACCTACATGAATAAAGATATTTTGATTTGAACAGTTGGCCTCTGTCGGTACATTTAGCCTCACATCTGGACCGTTGTGCAAGTCAAGCCGAAACTATTAAAGTAGTCAGCCAAGCTCCTTCTAGAAGCACAAAAGCCTCTGCATGTCTTCACAGGATTCATCTACCTCACCGGTTCGACAATTACTATATGTTGTGTGACCACTGTTATTGCTGTCATTATGAATTTTTGTGATCTAATTAAAGCAATTTTAAAGTACTTACACTTTCAAGGAATATCTCGTGTAAATATATACAGCATTAATAGGCTTCACATCCGCCTTGCTCTGCTCAGGTTCTATCCTCCCAGCTGGTACAGCTATCAGGAGGCCATCAGGACTAAACTGCAACCTCCGGTAGAATGTCTGCAGTGTGTCATCGTGATATAAACGAACTTTAACATCCTTTAGTGGATGCTCAGATGAGAATGGCAGCACTGCTTTGCTGCTTCGTGAGACCACTTTCTTGGTGTTTATATCAAATGTACGAAACACTCTGTAATATAATAAAGAACAAATAACATAAAGTAATAATAATCTCAGGATAAAGTAATGATATCTCAGGACAATTTACACAGCCACTTCTCACCCAAGCTAAGCAGAGCTTGTGTTATAGATACTAGACAACTGATACAAATACTTAACTATAAGTTTTTTTTAAATACACAATATATATATATATATATAAAACACACATTCTGACCCAATGAATAATATTCATAAAATTGTTAATACAGTGATAGGAATCTAACCCAGTTACCATTGAAAGTAAATGATGTGTTAACCCATTAGGCCATAGAGGTTGTTAAAATACTTATTTATTATCTACTACTGGGTATATTTGAATGAATAGTAAAAAGAGCCCAGCCTAGTGCCTCCAGAATTAATTATTGGTTCTGTAATCAGAGATTCCTTCACTATAGACTGTTTAAAAATGTAAATTTACATTGTTTTGTATGTAACTTATAAATTCTATTTCACAGACTAGCATGCAAGCCACACACACAAGAAAGGACACATTATGTTCTATGGATGGGTCAATTGATCAAATAAATAATGAAAGAAAATTTTTAAACTTTATTCATCTATTGAAACTTACCTATCAGTGCTAGCAGATGCTATGAACTGTCCCTTCGGGTCCCAAGATACACCCTGCACGAATCCTTTATGGTCTGTTAGTATAGCACTATATCTGCCTCGTGCTACATCCCACACCAGTAACTTATTGTCAACTGAACCTGATGCTAGGCATGAGGAATTCATACTCCAAGTTATATCTAGAACATCTTCCATGTGTCCTCGGAGAGTCTACAATGAAGTGCAATGAAATAAACTTATTGTCAAACTGCATGTTTTGTAAAATATTGTAACATGGTGGTTATCACTTCACAACTGTAGCGTTATATATGATGTGATGAAGTGTCGCTACATAATATATTGTTTATTGTAGTATATTGGTAGTGAGTATACCAATGTAATAATTGTACTATTTATTGTATATAAGTATAGTAAATTTATTTAGTAGTGAATGGTCTGAACGGCCCGTTAAAAAATGTCATTAATAAAAGAGAGCTTGTTTTAAAAGTAAAATATAATTAGTATAATTTCTATGTAATTGTCCATCATTTTCCTTGTCGTATCTATCTTGTCAATTGTCTCGTCTGTCCTAGTCACGTCTTATAACCGGCCAGCAAGTAGTCCTGTCAAGGAGGCTGCAAAAGTTAGTGTGCTACATAGCTAATTGGTAATGCATACATTATGTGGAGTCAAGATGTAGACTGTTTACTCTAAACTAAACCAGTGAAATTATTGTACATTAGTAAGTTTATTTGGTAGTGTGCTACATAACTGATTGGTAATACATGCGTTCTATGCAGAGTCAAGACGTGGACTGATTTACACTAAACTTAAATCTATGTTAGTGGAGATGTTAACTATAATGAAAGGGCCTCAAGTGTTGACAGAAATATTACAAGTGTAGGCACAATATGTATTGGTAATAGGGTATGATTAGACGAGTGAAAGTGCGGGATAAGGGGCATGATTTATTAGACCCCTGGAATGGCAACATATGAGTGATATCACAGTTGTAACAAAATACTGCGATGTCCATTGTGCTGGGTATGATATAAGTGACAGTTACTGCTTACGATCAAGTGGGCTGTTAGATTGTTTTTAATTGCAATCTCATAAAAAAAAGAACAGTAACTAAGAATTTTAGAACTGATCACTTTAAGTTTCATTCATAAGAGACATGAAATTTCTTGAAACAAAAGAAAACATAAAATAATTTGCATACTTTGTTATGGGCATATTGTTAGTTATTTATTATGGTAATAGCATTAAGTTATTTTTAAAATATACTGTATATTCTTTTGTGTTCATATAAGTACTAAACTATTAAACAGATCAAATGAACCCCAATAGTACTTATCAAAAGCTTGAAATAACAGAAATAGCTACATACATTTTAAATGTCTTTTTACATGAAACATTTTGAATTCTTAAAAATATTTTTTACATGTGCACAACAGGCTGAAGTCTTATATTCATAAAAAAATTTGTTTGAATTTTAAATCCTAGGATTGACTAGATTTTAATCCCCTCATGATATAGGTGAGTGCATATCAGCAATATTGTAATAGATACAAATTTATTAATGTATGTAAATGTAGTAATTATGCATCTGTTTATTACCAGGTTTATAATCTGTTTATTATTAAATAAAATAAATAATAATATAAGCACAGAAGTATAACTTCTTTTTTTCTATAACAGTAGTATGAAAAAATGTTTATTTTAAAACACAATGAAATTACAATAACATGGTGTTGGGATGACCTAGTAAGCATAGCAATGCCTGTGGCAGGTACATTCCAATCTTCCACATACATTGTCATGTGTTTTTTTAAAGATTAAAGTATATAACAAACCTTGTGTATAACCCATGACTCCTTATACTGCTCTTCAGGCTGTTCTAAATTTTGTATAGAAGGTTCTTTATCAGTTTTCTGCTTCCAAATGAATATAATAGATTCATCATCACCAGATGCTAGAAGCTGCCCGTCCGGAGACCATCGCACCACATTCACAGCTTTCTGATGCCGAGTCAAATCCGCTGCAACCTCTAAATTCACGGACCCAGATTCCGTGATAGAAATATACCATATCTAAAATAAAAAGTAAAAAAATAATAAGAAAATATTATTTCTCTAAATTAATATATATTCTATAAATTATTATTATCAAAATTTTCATATAGACCGTTGGATAAATACCAAAATATGAGAATCGGTGCCTCCAGTAGCAAGTCGTAAAGGTTCATTATCATCACGAACTGGTTGAAAATCTGCACTTAACACTGGGTCTCTGTTATGCCAAGATATTTCAGGAATAGTAAATTTCATTTTCTAGTGAATATAGTGTCAGTAATTAAATTATAATAATAAAATAAAGTTACAAGTATTAACAAAGTAAAATTTAAGTGTTGTCAAAATGTCAATTTTGTTTGGCGCCAAATGTTTTTTTTTTCTTTAATCTTTATTTACATAAGTACTACAGTTTTGGAAGCTAACATATTAAAACGACTTTTCGCTTAAAATTTATGTTGAACACTTGACAAAATATTAAATACTACTAACTGAAAAAATCATCCATTCCATTGTTCCGGAAGTCTATTGATATTTACTGAATATTAGTATTTCGGTGTACGAACTTCATGGCCTCCACGAGTTCTTCTCGTGGCGGTAGATATAACATGGTATATTGCTAACAATATGGCCACTATTTCTCGGCATATTTGGTTTGTGTATTTATATCATGCAATAGAACCACCAATCATAAAATCAGCTGACAAAAACTTCAAAGTCAATCCATGCATACAATTACTTGATAGTATGCCATACTGAAAAAAAATGTTACAATTATTCATACAAATAAGTATCATAGCAAAAATATTTATACCTACTTTTGAGATGCAAGTATTTTTAAAATACCAATAGTTGAATAATGTATCCAAAGACGCAAAAACATTATTAAAAAAAATTGACTTTGACATTACTTGACAGTTTCAATATTTTCTTTCTTTTGACGTTTCTGTTATCGTGCTGAACAAAAATCAAAATGGTTTGTAATTTTTATTTTAAATCTAAATAAATCTAAGAATATTCAAAATTAATTATGTCATATGTAGACCAATTCTCTCAAGCAATGTTTTGTGTTACGAATGGTGCTCATATTTTAATTGTCTCTTACAGGTAAACGTACCAAAACAGCGCAGGACTTACTGCAAAAAATGCAAGTGCCACAAAACTCATAAAGTGTCTCAGTATAAGAAATCTAAGGAAAGGCACGCTGCCCAGGGCAGAAGGCGTTATGACCGTAAACAACAAGGTTATGGTGGTCAGTCCAAACCCATCTTCAAAAAGAAGGTAAGTTCTTGATCATGGTTAACCTACCGGCTAATTTTCTTTATCAAGTATTATATCAGTGCTCTTCAAAGAAATTTCTAACTACTTACTGTTATTTGGAAGACGAATGTAGTTGTTGTTTTAAAATCTTACCTAATAATCTTTGTTCGCGCCATTTATAAACATATCAAGTGGTATGGTATTATTCCCTATATGACCTTTAATATGTCAGACGCCCGACGACACTAACGTGAATGGTGACATCTCGTCTCAACCGCTCCGCTTTAAATTAATTAATATAATATTGACATTAACAATAAGTAACTTTGTGTGCGTGCCTGTGTTAAACTTAGTATTCATCGAGTGCAGCAGCTGTGCAAGAATAAACCCGCTCTACAGTCGCAGTTACGTACTGTGCGCCCCCTTTATTTCAATTCCATACAGTCCACTTACCTTACCCGCTACCCCCCATATCTCCAATCTTCAAATGTTCGATTTAGTCCGATTGACCTTTAATTAGACGCGCCAAAAATATACGTCGTAGTTGAACAGGGTCTTCAGTTACCTCAAAATATATATGTATAGTATGAATAATATTTTTAGATTATTAGTTTAAACTTTAATTATTATTTGTCTTGTTTTAGACAATAATAAATTTCATAAGTTGTTACATGTAAGAAAAATTATTGTATTTACCACAGATGGATTTTAATTTAAGTAGAACTAATCATTTTTAATCATATGAAATAGTTACCTAAATAGAATGGTAGGAATAGTGATAAATAATATGAGGTGAACAAGGCAAAGACACAGGTTCTGTATTAATAAATAATTTTGAGTTTGAGTTTAACTGAAGTTTAAAATTAATTGTGTTGCTAAACAGTAAGTGTACATTAATAATAATAATATAATGATCCCCAATTTTACACGTAACATACTTTACTTTATTACTTGTTATTTTAAAATTGGAAAAATATAAGAAAGTCCTAAATGCAAAAATTTAAAATCTATAGTGACTTAATTTTGAACTGTACTCTAGTTGCACAGGGACATTATGCCTCTAAAAAGTGACTGGGAAACTTGCATAAAAATCCTTATAGATACTCACTTGAGACTAGGTATGGTTTAAATATGATTAAATATAGTATTTATTTTACTGAAAGAACTATACTAAAAAAAGCTGTTATTCTTATGAAATTAAAATATGAGAGGACAATAAAAACAATTTAACCTTTGTTTATTAGATCCGCCATTTTATTTCTAATTCCTATATTTATTAATTAATGTTAAGAAATATGATAAATACTGCAAAAATTTAATTGAAACTATAACTTGACTTAACTTATGATTGATATTATACTAAATTTAATTCAATAAATTGGTATGGTTGGAAGAAAGGTATTACCAGTCTCTTTGAAATCTTTATATAAAAAAATTACATGTCACATTGTTTGTCCACAATGGACTTCTAAACTACTGAACCGATTGCAATTTTATTTGCACATTGTGTGAAATTTGATCCCAACTTGAAAGATAGAATAGTTTACATATCAATTTATAGTCACAATATGATTTCATTAAAGAACCTTAGCCAGAGCAATGCATGGCTGGGTCTGCCCATTGACTATAGTTTCTTTGGCTATTGTTTCAGTTTAAACGAATGTAATATCTAAATTACTAAAGACACCAATTAATGCTTGCAGGCGAAAACTACAAAGAAAATTGTACTTCGTCTGGAATGTGCCGACTGCAAAGTGCGATCACAGGTGGCACTGAAGCGCTGCAAGCACTTTGAACTGGGAGGTGACAAGAAGAGGAAGGGACAGATGATCCAGTTTTAATCTGGCTAATAAATAAGTTTAACACTTATACACTCTTTTATTTAATCTCCACAGTAACACCCAAGAACTATATAGGAGTTGAGCCTTTCCTGTCACGAAATATTATCTTAAAATTAAATTTAAACTATATGATAACATGGTAAAAATATCTAATAATGAGTTCATTTTCTTTTGATGGAGATAACAAGCATCATAGTAATATATATGCAAAAGTTTGGATGTATGTATATTGTTCCTATACATGAATTTTTACATTACATTTTCTACATGTCACAATTTAAAAAAATGGGCATGATTAATTCATTCTTATAAAATTGTTTATCAGGTCATTTATAAAAATACATATTGCAGACGCTCAGCAGCCACTCTATTTGTACTTGCCATTTTTCACATTAAACAGCCTACATTACCTTCTATCACATTTAGTTCACAAATAAAGCTGACCAAAAATAACATGTTAATATAAAGATCTGTTATTGTTTAAATCAAAAGGGGATATAGTAGATTAATATCGTCAGTATCGCGTTTTGACACACTACTTCGTATGGTCGTGGGTTCGATTCCTGGCAAAGTGCACACATTTATTCCTGACAGTTTATACTGTATTGATCAGGGTGTTTTCTATGTAAATATTTACAAAAACGACTTATGTAAGTATTTATACCACTTGTCTAGTATCCAAACATAAGCTTGGCACTGAGAATTGTCTATGGTCATTATAATTTTCAAAGTTATTGAAGGAGTTTTCAAATCCTTAACAGTATTCTGTAACTTGTGAATATCTTATTTTCATTATTACCCTGTATTTATGAGTCAAAAAAAAATTAGATATATATTTGTATATTACTGCATGATTATAAATTAACAAATTTCTGGCTTCAACTGTTTCATACAGGGGGGAAGGGGATTGTTAGTAATGTGGATTGATAACCCCATTGCTAGCAATGTACCATGTCAGGTCGACCTCCACGCGGTTAGAAACCATCGTGTTAAATTCCTGGTGAATTTGCACGATGGGCTAACTGACCTGACCTCATGCTCATCCTATCATCCTCCACTGGTGCCCCGCCAGCTTAAACCGTTAGCGCAGGCGGTTGCACCATTCCATTATCAACCCTAAAAAAAAAAACTGTTTCATACATGTCAAAAATGCTGTCTGATTACAAGGAAGAATTCTAAAGATTCATTATTTTGTTAGTTTCAAAACATTTGATTGTCACCACAAGTAATAATTCAAGTCCACAGTACATAACATATATTTTAAAGACGAAAATTTATTTAGGATCCGAAATGCGCATGTGAGACTCCTGTTGTCTCATGCATCCATAGGCTATGAAAACTGTTTATTATGAGATGCGTCGTATGCTTGTTTGCCACTATCGTAGTAGTAGCATATTATGTTATCTGTGGTAGTAGTAAGTAAACCCTAACACAATGATTGTTAGTAGCAATTATGTGGAGGCAACCCGACATGGTACATTGCTAGCAATGGGACCAATAGCCTTCATTAGGGGCCGTCCATTAATCACGTGATCTTTTTCTAAGCATTTTTAACCCTCTCTTCCCCTTGATGATACGTGGTGAGGTTTAAAACTACCCCCTTCACTCAACATAGCGTGTATACCTACACAGAATCTTAAAATTTTTAGAATATTATTTTTAAATACAGGTATAAAGTATAATCTTATTTTATTCTGAAATTAAGGACCATGATAAAAATGTCTAGACAGAAAGGTTGCAGATTGTTTTTGATTGACATAAAATAAATACATGTGATGTCTTACTAGATCATGAAATATCACAAGAGGCGCCTCCCCTCGTATATTTCGTGATTTTTGTCAAACCCCTCTCCCCCTTTTCAAGTCTCTCGGATGGATGGCCCCTTACTACCAAGCTCCACTAATAACTAATTTTCACTATACACTCAAGTATTCTTTAGCCTATAAAAAGCAATATTCTCATATCTATAAATATCTATCATATTAAAAAAAAACATATCTGCAACTGTAGCAAACATGAGATCATGGTTATTGTGATTTTTATAACAAATAAAATGTAACAGACAACAAAACTGGTCCATAAACATTCTATATTAATAAATATAAAAATATTAATAATTTGCGAATATTAACAAAATATCATTTATTAATTATTGTTTCAAGTACACTAGGATCCAACCCTTCCATAGTTACTTTTAACTTCACAGCCTGTAACGGAACTCCAACTTGTATCATTTTAACAAATCTATCATATTCCGGGTGACTCTGTGCTGACTCTTTACTCTCTTCTTCTTTTATATTCTCAGTATCTGTTGGACTAGCTTCATTCTGATCAGTTGTGTCTTCAGATTTGACAGTTGTGTTTTGTGTTGGCTGAGCCGACTCTGTTGTATTTGCCTCAGGTATTGATGACAACTGTTAATAAGTTTATAATAATTGTAGTTTACAGTATTTTTAACACAATTTTGTGGAGAATTTATTTATTAATAAATTATATTACAGGATACATAGCATAACATATTAGTCCTCTGAAATATACACAATAACATTATGTATAGTGCTGTTGTATAAATAATTTGCTAAAGTTACTATTTGTCATCTTGTTTTCATCCCAATTACATAAAAAAACCATAGGCATCATATAGCACCAACAGGTCATGAATATGTTAACAAAGTGGAGAGGCATATGCCCAACGGAAGTCTACCCCATGCTGAAGAAGTATAAGAATCATGGCAACAGACAAATTGAGATTTTAATTATAAGTTTATTTTATGTCAACTATTGTATTCATATTTATAGAAATTGCACAAAAATGCTCACTAACCCTGGCTTCCAATAACACCATAGCAGCTTCAACTTTCTCGAGTTTTCTTTCAAAATGCATCAATTTTTGCTCACAATTCTTCATAAAATGGTTCAGGAATTGCACTGTAGTTACTACAAAATGATTTACGAAGGCTAATGTACGTTTCTGTTGTAATGCAGTCACCTAAAAAATTTGGTTTACAATTGTATTATATACAAATATACAATGACAATTAAATATAAAATAAAATAACTTTATTATACCTTCGACAAGTCCAAATTGGCAATTTTTTCTTTCACTATTGCCTCCTGCATGGTCATGTCATGTAAATACAATAAAACGTTAAGTATGTAGTTATTTCCGTTTCAATTTCTGAATATTTTATAGTATTTATATACAAAAGCTACAAATTTTATTTTTGTTTGCGAACTTTGAATTTTTATAATAATTTCGTATAAAATGGCAACATCGACATAAAAGATGACATATATATAAAGTTGCCATATACTTTTTTTGAGGTATGGCACTCGAACATGAACTCGATTTTAGGTTCTCTTCATATTAATTCAATGTCCATTACTTCTATTTTGCTTCCATGTAAAACTGTTCAATAATTTTCCAATAGTAATAGTACAGTATAAAATAAAGTGTAAATTTTAATCGCTTATATTACCAGTTTCATTATATTCTGTGGTACGACATTTCATCTTTACAATCTGTGGTCGATTGGTATATGCATATACCTTTCGATTTAAGTTTGTTTCGTTCTTGATAAAATACATTTTCTTTATATGAATTTATATAAAGGAAAAATCATCAATTATATATTAGTTTTCATTAATAACTTATCTATACTTCAGTGTTCCTAGTATTGTATTATACATTCTTCAATATTAGTATTTTTAAAAACATCACTGCAAAATTAGTGGAAGTATTAAAGTTTTAGTTAATATAATTAAATAGACTTAAAAGTGAAGTCTAGATGATCTAGAGTTCACAACAAAGCTTACAGATACACATCAATGGCAGGCGAAGTTATTGTAGACGCTTTACCTTACATCGACCAGGGATACGATGATCCCGGTGTCCGAGAAGCGGTAAGTTAATAATTATTGTTGACATTTTGTGGAAATGCTTATCATTTGTCTATAGGATATGATATGGCAAACATTCTTCATACTTTTTCTGTATTACCTCCCTAGAATGCTCAAGTTGTAATAATGATGAGACCCCTTGCATTAATGGTATACACTGACCATCATAGTTAATTCCTGGTTATCTGAATGAGCTATATATCCTAATCGCAATCTCATCTTATCATCCTCCACTGGTGCCCTGCAGCACAGCAGCCATACAGTTATCGCAGCTGACCATTCCACAATTAACAGTAAATAAAAAATTGGGGATATTATTAATAGGGAATTAACTACAGCTCACAATTATTAATAATAGCATCTGTGGAGAAGGCCAATTTTAAGGGTTACATTGCAATTATTACATTACAATTAAAAATTCATTAAAGTTTGTGTCCTTTGAGAAAAATTGCTGTGGCTTAAGATTTCTAATTATTTTTGTGTCAAGACAACTCAATAAAATTCTATTAGTATATATATAGTATTATTCTAAAAGTGTTGTGTGCTTAATAAAAACAATGAAACCTATTTTCCATAGGCTCTGGGCATGGTTGAAGAAGAATGTAGAAGGTACAGACCAACAAAAAACTACTTAGAGAATGCAGGCCAGGAACTGAGTACAGCATTTGAGACATCTGCTCTACAGAGAGAAATGGAACGAGTACAGCAGCGGTTGCCTATGGAACCATTGTCTATGAAAAGGTAAAAATATCACTAAAATTCAATTGCAGTTTAATTATTGCCTTAAAAAAATTTTTTATGTAATTTTAAATGTAAATAAAATTCATGATCTAACTCATGTTAAATGTGATGGAGGTATTAAGCTGATTTTAAATAAGACATTCCTAGGTGCAGTAAAACCTTTTTATATTCAGCTATTAGAGATGAATAAATTCAGCTACTAGAGAAACCAAAGTTTGAATTGATTTAAAAAAAGCAACATAACATCAAAATATAAAATACAATAAAGATATATATTGTATAAAAAAATTATCAAAAAGTTTGCTTTCAGCAACAGTAATTGGTATTGCCCACATTAATCATGTATTCATAGATATCACCTTTGTCCTCCACAAAGGAAGATCTAAAAAATATGACAGAATATGCAAAAGTGGTCGCAACAATCTGGGGAAATTAAATTTAGTGCCTAACATTTAGTTTTTTTTGTGTAGATACATATGCATTGCATGCATGTCACGTGTGTATTGTATGGATCTTATTATTATTTATGTATTAATTTGTTAAATTTTTATTTCATTATGTTGTGGTATAGTTATCTAGCACGTGTGATTAGATACACCTTCGTAGGTACAAACTGAAAACCAGGGTTGGACGCCCATCAGTCCAGCAACAGCTGAGTTTGTACCTATTGCCAATCATATTAAACATGTATAAATGTGTAACTATGTAATAAATTCATTTGGATGGATGGAAAGAAAGAAGAAAAAGAAGAAGACCTTTATCCTACTCTTTATGTATTTCTTTTCCAGAGGACTGAAAGGGTCATATTCTCCATACCCTCTAATTTCACTGGCAAACTCAAACACAACCTTCAACCTTCAACCTCTTGTACACATTAGTGTAACAAAAAATATAGTTATGTGTCCAATAAAACTATGTAAAAAAACCTGGAATTTCACATCTGGGTTTAAAAAAAAACCTCTTGTACATATCATATTTTTTATTACTATGCTTATTTTCGGCTTGCTACTTCAATTGAGAAGTTGCAAGGCAATCTAACATGGTAAATCACTTCCCTGTCCTCCCTTCACTGAATATTCTATATTAACAATTTTGACCATGACTTACCCACAGGTATGAGTTACCACCTCCACCTGCAGGTCGTCTCGGAGAACCAACAGCATGGTCAGAGTCAGTAGACAACTCACATGCACAGTTGTCCCACCAAGCGACTAGAGTACTGAATTTGGAGCTGCAGTTACAGTATGGGTCTGAGGCTTGGAGGTCGTACTTGAATACATTACAGGATCTAGTCACTAGATCACAAAATATTCACACACAATTAAGGTTAGTACTGGAATTTTATTCATTTATATTTAATTGAGGCCATATGGCCCTGCTTTATAGACTATAATTAACATATGAAATAATCTATACAGATAAATAAAATTTAAGTGTCTGTTTTAATATTGAAATAACTGGCTTTTACTGCATGCATATGAATATAAATACGGTACATACACAAAAATATTTTGTTTTACAATTTTTGTCTGTCTGCCTCTTTATTCCGGTTAATCTCTGAAATGGCTGGACGGATTTTGACGGGACTTTTAAGGCAGGTAGCTGATGTAATAAGGAGAGTAACTTAGGCTACTTTTATTTTAGAAAAATAAAAGTAATAAAATATAAGATGTCTCCGTGGTCACGGCACTGACGACGGCAATCTGCCAAAGTTTTGCCGATACATAACCCACCACTTACGCCCATTTGAACAAAAAATATATCTAAGTGTAAAATGTATATCAGTTGCCTACTATCCATGACAAGTTCTGATTAGCAGGACTACATGTGCGCTGTGAATTGTCCAGAGACATTATTATTGTAAAGTGGGCCATTCATCATCATCATCATCGCAGCCCGGAAGACGTCCACTGGTGGACATAGGCCTCCCCCTAAGATCTCCACGACGATCGGTCCTGCGCTGCTCGCATCCAATGCCTTCCAGCGATCTTGACCAGATCGTGGGCCATTAACTTGTTTGAAACATTAAAAATAACTAAATTTGTTAAATACAGAAAACAAATAGCATCAGTGAATTGGGAACGTAAGAGATCTCAGACGGCGAGTGGCGCACGACTGCGCGCGTTGCGGCGGCGGTGGGCGCACCTCGTGTCAGACAACTACCGACTGGAACGAGCACTAATGCAATTAGAAATACAACTACAAAAGGTATGGTAAAACAAACAGTTATAATCAAATCAATCAATCAAACCAAACAGTTATGAGCCAAACCTATTTTCACTGAATAATTACTTAATGACAAATGCACGGGATTTTCATTTAATGTTAGACCGACACGTATACAAAGTAAATAAACTGGTTTTAAAATAAAAGAAATTCACTTTTTGCCTGTTCTTCTCAATTGAATCTGTCTACTGAACTGGATGGTAGTTAAAAACATTAATACAAAAAACTTTAATTTTTTTATATGTTGCTTATGAGCAATAAAAAGATCAAGTTTTTGGCATTAATAATTTTAAAATGACCTATATGAATAAATAAATAATTTTTGATCTGAACCATTAAATTGCAAGTAATTTGTTTAAAATTGTCAGTACACTAGCTGTGCCCGCGGTTTTATCCATCCATCCATCTTCATTCAAAACATCCGCGCTTATAATATTAGTAACATAAAACCAATTAGAAAGGAGTTGGTTTTTGATAGTAACATTATTACATAAAACCAATTAGAGAGGGTTGGTTTTTGATAGGTATAAATATTAACAGTTTACTGTTATGCATTTGATTGTTGCAATATGGTATGCTACTGCAAAAAAGACTGCAATGGAGCATTCATCAGAATTGCATTTCATAATAAAGATTTTAATGGTTGATTTTGATATATTTAATTATATGTTACTTTTGTTTTTAGGCAAAAGGACAGGCACCGGCTGAAGATGACGAACCGGCCGATTTGGAAGCTGTCAAGTTGTTGCCAGATAAACTCAACTCCGAAACAGAGAAGGAAGTACAGAAGAAGATAGAAGACATGTTCGCTGATTAGATAAATAATGAAAAGTAAAAATTGTAACGAAGTAATCCCATTGCTAAAATAAATAAAGTGATGTGTAAATTTTATAGAATTTACGAGAAATTGAAAAAGTAAACATTCTTGTTTTTTTTTATATCCATAATCTTCAGGAATCATTCACAGACGGTGTTGTTATTAAATGCATGATATAGAATGGTGCACTCGTCTAAGCAATCCCAAGCTAAATATTCTAAATTGTGGAGTACAGCTAAATTACTGACAAAATTTTTGCAATATTTTTTATCAGTGTGTGAAATCTTGAAAATGTATTAAAAAACTTCAATTTACTTTAATAAAATTATAATCTGTTAGTAAACGTTATCTTTTGATCAAATAAAATGATAATAACTATTAAGATTTTGCACAAAATTTTTGCACATAAAGTGAAACATTCCGTTTATTATAGTGAGTTTAGAACGCAACATTAATTTGATTGTCATTTGTCGTCATCATCTGTCAAGCTGTCAATTTTTATTTGAAAATGGCGGACGATGCATCGAGCAGTAGTGCCTGTACCGGCAATTTAGTTGATAATTTAATAAATCAAGATGAATTGATTATGAAACAACAGCGGGAGATAGAGAAAGAGGTAGGGAACAATTTTTCACCAGTCTTGTATTTCCTAGTTATTTATAGTAGTAATAATAAATGTGAAGATATGATAACAAAGAACTGATGTTTGTGTTTGTTTTGCAGATTTCAGAAACGATACCGCTAGTCGGGGATCTTGAACCATTAGGGTCTTTAGAAAAAGAATACAACGAGGATCCAGTGTATCTTTTAAAAGTAAAAGATCTAGCTTCCAAGTATAAAAATATTAGAAGAACTCGCCCAGACGGGAACTGTTTCTTTCGGGCCTTCTCTTATGCCTATTTAGAACATCTTCTCGCGGACAAAACAGAGTATGAAAAGTTTTATGAAATAGCCAAGAACTCCAAGGAGATTTTAGTCGCCTTAGGATTCTCTCAGTTTACAGTAGAAGATTTTTACGAGACGGTCAGTGTTTTAATTATATTTTAGAGGTTATATGTTTGAATATTCATTATCTAATTGTGTTAAAGATAATTGCTAGAAGAATGATAATGTTTATGAGCACTGGTACACAGATACGTTACAGACAGTACAAAAAAATACATAATTGAGTACTCATCTGTATAGAAATAAATAACAATGAAGTGTCTATTTGTAATGTTACATTTAATAATAGCTTTTCACTGAATCATATGAAAGTACATATGGTGCTGACATCAAAGATTAATTTAAAAAATTGTCAGACTGACAAATTTTTGTGCTTGCTACTCTCTGATATGGGTGTACCGATTTTGATGGGACTTTAACTTGCAGAGAGTTATAAGCAGTAACTGAGGTTACTTGTGTTTTAGAAATTATATTTATCTTAATTAAATTTTTTCAACTACATATATATGAAGTTACAATAAACTTTTAGTGTTATATAAAATGGTCACACAATTTATTTATATACTCTATTGCACCAGATAAATTACATGATTTAATATTAACAGAGTACTTAAAATTAAGAGGGTACAAAAAGGGGCCGTTCAAGTATTACGTAAGCACTATGGGGGGTGGGGAGCGGGAAGTGTTTACTTTGCTTATTTTGGATGACATGGGGGGTAGGTCTAAATGATGATTACATCATCGGTATACTTTTTTTATTTGCATGACATGGGGGGCAGGGGAATCTAAATGATTATGTCATCGGTAGTTATTTACTTTTTTACATGAATGGCAACCCTCACATTGACTTTGCAAATACATTAATTGAAAAATGTTTACGTAATCATGGGGGGAGGGGTAAGAGTTTGCTTACTTTTGCTGACAAGGAGTATAGGGGGGTAAATAAATGGAGGGTTAAAATGCTAAGGTCATCTGATTAATGGACAGCCCTTTATATTATTGTCTAAAAAAGCTACATTTGACTATTGTTACAGTTTATGGAAGTAGTGCAGCGAGTGGGTGAGTACGCCGGTGGCTCAGCAGACAGCTTGGATGAGATTCGTGCAGAGTTGCACGAGAAGTTCAACAGACAGGGACACTCGGATTACATAGTTGTGTACCTGAGACTCGTCACTTCAGGACAGTTGCAGACACAGCACGACTTCTACCAGAACTTCATTGAAGGCCCCCGTACTGTCACCGAGTTCTGTAGACAGGTTGGTTGATGAGTCCTACATATACAATACATGATCAACATACAAGTTTCTTGTTCATTCTTCTTGTGATGAGTCTGCGTTCCGAATGAGTGGTAGAATATAAAAATGTGACTGTTTAAAAGTGCTTATATTTTATTTATTTGAATAAAGATTATTTCTATTTCTACACCATACCAGTCTGACTATAAAAAAAATGTTAAGGGTGGACAACCCTTATCATTTAGAGGTATGAAAAATAGATAGTAGCAGATTCATAGACCTACTGAATATGCATATAAAATTTAATAAAAAATTGTAAAGCCATTTTGGAGGAGTATGGTAATTGTGATACAAGAATTTTATATATGAGGCTAGCTGTCCTGGCAAACGTTGTTTTGCCATATGACTTATATCGAAATAAAAAAAAAGGTATAAAAAATTTTTAATAAAAAAAAAATTAAAATAAAAAAAGATTTTTTCCATTTTTTTTTTTTTTGTTTTTCAGCCTTTCCAGCTGTAATCAGATTTTTTTGATGTTATTGGCATTTTGAGACGAGGCACCTCCAGCAAGGTGCCATCTCATTTACTTTCTTTAGATGTTGGTAAATGAGATGAAATGATGATGAATGTCCAAGAAATGAAAAAAAAATAGCTTTTGCCTTGTCTTAATCCCTATCTTAAGTAAGTATTTCTGTCAGATTCTGTAATTATGTATCAATTACTAAGGCTTTGAATTTGAATAATAAGTAATTTACCAATTTCTACCATTTGCAGGAAGTGGAGCCAATGTACAAGGAATCTGACCACATTCATATAATAGCTCTGAGCAACGCCCTAAACGTCGGAGTCAGGGTGAAATACATGGACCGTGGAGTTGGTAGTCAGGTGAGGGACATTAAATCTCTGATAAATCATCATGTAGTACATACATTACTAAATAGCTGTGCACGCGACTTCGTCCGCATAGAGGTCAGGTCAGTTGGCCCATCGTGACATATTCACCAGGAATTTAGAGTGATGGTTTCCTGGGGGAAAGTGTGGAGGTCAACCAGATTTGGTACATTGATAGCAATGGGGTCATATTTCCAATAGTCCCCTTTCCCCCCTGTTTGAACTGTTCTAATAGTGTTTGTTGCAGCTAGCTTTTACAGCATCATGTTAGGTAAACCTACACATGGTCCACCTGGAAATCATCGTGGTAAATTACCACGATGGGCTACTTAACCTGATCTCATATTCATCCTATCACCCTCCACTGGTGCCCCGTCAGCGCTGACGAGTGCAACATTCATTATCATCCCTTAAAAAATACCAATATTTTGCTTAACTTGTGATGAATAATATCTCTCTAAAAGGGGGCGAAAGGAGGGGATAATTAGTAATGTGGACTAATAGTCCTATTGCTAGCAATATTTCCATGACAGCTTGATCTCCACATAGGTTCCTGATGAATTCGCCTAACTGACTAACTGATCTGACTACATGCATATCTTATCCTCCACTGGTGCCCCGCCAGCGTATATCCGTAGTGCATTCCATTATCATTCATTAAAAATAGACATAAACACATTATTTGTAAAAAATACCGCATCATGTACCTAACTACGGAGAAATTACGAAGACCAATATTAACTCACTTTCATGAATGTTTGTTTTCAACAAGAATCAAACCCACGAGCCAGAATGTGATTATATAGTAATATTTTTAGTACTTACTCGTCAGCAACTGATCTTGATGTTTGTAACATGTTGTGGTGTTGTCCGACAGGTGATAGCCCACGATTTTCCCGAGGGATCAAAACCACTGGTCCACCTGCTGTATCGGCCCGGACACTACGATATACTATACGCGTGATCATTTCACTCACACCAACAATAAACCTAATTATTCTATTCATATTTTTGTTTTGTTATTTACAAACTACTATTATATAGATTGCTACCCACCCCGGCTTCGCACGGGTGTACATGTATTATACATATAAATCTCCTCTGGAATTTAAAAAAACCGCTTCAAAATCCGATGCGCAGTTTTAAAGATTTAAGCATACATGGGGACAGACGGCGACAGAGACTTTGTTTTATACTATACTAGCTGACCCAGCAAACGTTGTTTTGCCTAAAAATAAAAATAAAATAGGGGTGGACTACTCCTAACATTTAGGGGGATGAAAAATAGATGTTGGCCGATTCTCAGACCTACTCAATACGCTCACAAAATTTCATGAGAATCGGTCAAGCCGTTTCGAAGGAGTATGGGAACGAAAACTGTGACACGAGAGTTTTATATATAAGATAATGATTATATTCGATATGATGTTATATGATACGAAAGCCGTACAGTTTCTGATGTAACTAATGGCGAAGCGCCGACGGACGGTAGTGGTTGAAAAGTGGTAAATTACAGATAGCGTCGCTCTGCCCCTGTGTGCTCACACATTTGGACTAAATATAACTAGCTGGCAAACGTTGTTTTACCATATCAATTTAAGTACTAATATTGCTTTTAAAAAATAAAGTTTGGTGGTAGAATTATAAAAGAATTATGTTCTTATGTATGTATTAAAACAATATTAGGGGTGGACACGGACTGGTAAATAATTGTAACAAATCTGCTTAAGTAATACTTGAGCCCCATATTTAAATTGTCAAAATATTTTTTTTATTTAACTTCAATGCACACAATACATTTGGCGGACTTAATACCATGCGGCATTTCAAAATATATAAAATGTAAAAAGTAGGGATTCTACGATTTCACATAGAGGCGCTGCCGGTGGCCGGTGCAGTCCTGTCTGCAGACATGAACAACGCCATGAGCATCAGTAAACGAATTTGTAAAGCCAGGCTTCAGACCTGGTGTGATATCTTAATAATAATATTACAGGAATTTTACTCTCGTTGGTAGAAATAGAACTTGGAAGCTCTCTAATCTATACATATAAATAAAATTGGAGTATCTGTTTGTAATATTGAAATAACCGTTTTTTACTACATGCATATGAATATAAATACGGTATATACACCAAAAAACATTTTTTACAATTTGCCTGTTTGTTTGTTCCGGTTAATCTCTGAAATAGCTGGGCCTATTTTGACGGGACTTTTTTAGCAGGTAGCTAATGTAATAAGGAGTAACTTAGGCTACCTTTATTTAAAAAATAAAGTTAAATTCCATGCGGACGAAGTCGCGGGAATAGCTAGTTGAATATAAAAATGAATCTGTATTTTGTAAACATGTACAAGCTCATTTGAAAATAACAAGAGCTGAGTTTTTTTGCCAGTTCTTAGCTCGAAAGGACTCTGAAAGAATCTGTAACAAACCTATATGAATATAGATATTTTAGTTTGATTTGTAGCCCTGTATATCGTCGTCGATCGTTTTATACCTACATGTAGTTATTATTAAGGATACATACATAAAAACAGTGACTAAGTGCACAACAAGTATTGGATGAGTCACAAAATTCCTGTAAAAATCTTAAATTCTAGGACCTCTTCCACTCTTGTAGGTGTTCGATATTGTGACATTACTATTTAGTTTCAATTAAACAAAACATTGAAACTTTTAAAATGGGACCACCTAATAAATGCGATGCATCGTTATTATATAGCATTGCCAATATTATTATTCAGAATTTAATTATATTTATATAAAAATAAAACTAACATTAGGGTGAAAAATGCATATAATAGGATAAAAGAATATTCTGGAACCTAGAAATAACTAAGCACAGGGAATGCTGTTAAATAAAAATACTGGATATAAAAATAGACAAGTTCTTAAAACTACGATATCTTATCTACAGAAGTAAACACCGTCAGGTTCGCGTTTAGCTTTAATTCCTGCAAAGAATGCCTTAATATCTTCCTCCTTGACAATTTCCTTTTTATCTTTGAAACTCTTCAAAAAGTCTAACAATTTGTCTCTCATTTTGTTATACTCAGTCAAGGCGTTTATTTGTTGTATGCGGTCTAAAGATGATAAAGCTTTTAGGCCCTTTTCATATTGTGAAACTGAATTACCTTCATTTCGTTCTTTACCTAATGTTTCGTAAGCTGTTACAGTGTCTTCAGGGTCAATTAAAAAAAGTACAGACAAATCTTTGTACATAGATATACATTCGCTGCAAGTACATAACTTTTGTCGGAAATTAGACGGCCAAAATGTTGCTCCTTTATATATCCTTTTAACTCCTCGTGGTCTGACACATTTTTCGGTTTCCTCTAATTTTGCCTTTTTTGCAGAGCCTTCTTGTGATGAGTATTCATCTAACTTTCTTTTATTGTCATTATTTTTATCGTCACTATTTTCTACTCTACTTTCCTTTGAAGAACTATTAGCTGAAGGGTCAATAGTATCATTAATTTCATTTATTTTATGGCTTGATTCAGCTTCATTTTTTACTTCAGTACTTGCATTTAAAAGGTTCTTTTCATTTGTTGTATCTATCATATCAATGTCATTTTCTACATTAGATTTTGAGATACTATCATTCTTGTCCATTTCATCATTGTTTCTTTCAGTAATTTCTGATCCGACAGATATGTCAGTGTTTTCTTTTTCTTTTGTAACATTTACTTCAAATTCCTTTTGTTCTATATTCGTGATTTCTGAAACAGAAGTGTTATCATCTTGTTTTTTTTCTGTTGTAATTTGTGGTACGTGAGATTTATCAGTATTAATGTTGGTATCTATCCCAGTCTCTGGCTTAGATGCATCATCCACATTACTATTATATGATTGTTTACTGTCGATGGAATTACATTCATTACTTTCTGTGTGTGTAATATTTTGCAAAGTGGACTCCTCTACATTCTTGGAAATTTCTTGGTTGTCATTAGTCGTAACTGTGTTGTCTATTGAAACATTGTCTGTAAGCTCACTTCCAGAGTTATCAGAATTCTTACCAGATATCACATGTTTATTACTATCCTCAGAGTTTTCAGTATTTTCAGTATTGTTTACTTCACTAATATTTTGTACTTCCGAAACAGATTTTATTGGTTCTGCAGGAGCTTCATTAATTTCATCTTTGGTTTTATCAATTTTATCATGTAAAATACCATCTGTATCCATAGATGGTTGCTCCAAACTGTCAGGGTCAATGGTACTTGTCCCTCCATCTGCACCTGTGAATTGTGTATTATTTTCTGTATTTCTGGAATCACTATCATTATTTTGTTCCAGACATTTATCATTTTCACTTGAATTCTTATTTAACTCAGAGTTTACACCATTGTCTGCAGCATCTTCAGTATTTCTTGTAGTTTCTTCTTTTTTATTACTACCACAATCTTTATTAATGTCATTCATTTTGCTATCTGTCATGTCAATATCTTGGTCATTAATAGTTTTGTTTTTATCTAACTCTCCATTAGTTACAGTTATGTCGCTAATCATGGTGGTATCACCATTCGTAGTTATAACATCAATATCACATTCAACGTTGACAGCAAAATTGCTATAGTCATGTAGAAAATCAATGTTTTCCATACAGGCCTTGCATATCATTTCCGAGTAATGATCATTCCCTGGAACTGTTGCTTCGAGATGCGACGCATGGAGCCAATCCTCACAAATTATGCACTGGATCATTTCATCTTCAAATGTCGCTTCCGGATCAGGGTAAGGTCGGTGGCATGTACAGTAGACACCACTAAAATTCTGATTATACTCATTATTTTCATTCAAGTCTGTTTTGTTTGTTGTAAATTGACAGGGATGAGAGTTAAATTTAGAATTGCCACAATCACAGCAGAAATTACGTTTAGTATATAATTCAATGAGCTCATGGTTTTCATGGCATGCGAGACTGCAAGCGAGACACACTCCGGCCCTCTTCGCCGGATCAGTTTTAGCATCTTCACAGCATGTTAAGCAAGCATAGATGGCCTGACGTTTGATGTAGCCCTGAAATTAACAATACAATTATGATTAATTGGCAATATGGTCCACACTGAACATATGCTGTAACAGCTTACTGTCACAGCACTGTTATTCTGTGTAGGCCCTAAGTGACCATATGGCCAAAGACCTTAATATAAAATAATAATAATATATAGTTAAGCCCCTCTAAGGTTGGCAAGCCTGTGTTATATTTAGTATCTCTATGTAGTTTCTGGTCTTTATAATCATATAACTACACTATAATCTAAATTAAATTTAAATTCCTATTGAATGTAAAATTTAAATAAAGTCTACATACAAAAATATTTTGTGGAGTTGTTTAAGATTATCCTAAATATGATAGTATTTAAGATAAAGCTAATGATTAGCATGTGTGAGACCACAAATATTCATCTATATCATATAAAAAAAAAAGTCTATTCAAAAGAGCAACACACAAGTTTCTTGCTCATTCTTCTTGTGATGAATCTGCATTCCGAATGAGTGGTAGAATCAAAATATGACTGTTCAAGTGCTTGTAATGAGTTTATTTGAATAAAGATTATTTCTATTTCTATTTCATCACCATTGCCCGGTCTCATTGTGTAATTTTACTTTTGTTGCAGAGTGCCCCATCGATGGGCATGCAGTTTTTAACAGTTTAATAATATTGTCTGCTAGCTCAATAAATTATGCAATTTGTAACTAGTTCTGTAAGAATCCTCAGATTGATTAATATATATGTCTGTTTTTGTATTGCCGTCAACAGGTACTGTGATACACACTTTTTAAATATACAATGAATATAAAATAGAATAACATTTATTAAATTGTACATCACAACACAAAATGATACTGACAGCAGCATATATATTATTATCTAATTAATAAGTAATATTGAAATAACCGTTTCTTACTACATACATATGAACATAAATACGGTCCATACACCAAAATAACAATTTTTACAATTTGTGTTGTCTGTTTGTTCCGGCTAATCTCTGAAATGGCTGCATCGATTTTCACAGGACTTTTATGAAAAGTAGCCTATGTTACTCTTTATTACATCAGCTACCTGCCTAAAAAAGTCCCTTCAAATAGGTCCAGCCATTTCAGAGATTAACCGGAACAAACAGACAGGCAGACAAAAAATTTAAAGAATGTTTTTTTGGTGTATGTACCGTATTTATATTTATATGCATGTAGTAGAAAATGGTTATTTCAATATTACAAACAGACACATTTTATTTATACGTATAGATTTCGTTTAGTTTCTTACAACTACGATGAGAGAAACGTATCAATTATATGTCAAATTGGTGCATCGGCTGCCGTCATTTAGCCAGCCATTTTGACCAAGATATATCGACGTAACAAAAAGGAAAACCACGAAGTACCTTTGGATATGTGCAGTTTTTCTCGTCAGAAGCACCTAATACGGCATTTGCATCTTCTTCAAACTCTTCTTGTTCTTGCAATACGTCCAACATTGTTACGACTTTTTCTCCTTCGCATTCGGCCATGTCGGCCTCCTCAGACGTTGTTACGCCGTTCGATGACATGTTTGTTATATTTTATGCTTATAATAAGAATTGAACAAATAATTTCCTTCCAATATGACAAAGAAAGCCGGTTAGGAATTAGGCGCGAAGTAATTTTTTTTAATTCAAGTACCTGTCGCACTTTAGACGGCGAATGTCGGCGAACGGAATCAAACGTCAAATTTCACCGACAGAATGTTGCCCCCTCGATTGTAAATTATTGGGCTGGATTATATGGATTGGTATGTTATTTAGTTTATTTATGAAACAAAATATTTTAGAAACAATTGATTAACAAAGTTCAAAGAGTTAGATTTGCGACAATATTTATGTATTCTGATATGTATTATTTCTAAGTCCAACAGTGCGTTAAGTTTTTCTTTGTTTTGACAGAGTGTAATTTTAGATTTGCTTTGTGTAAATGTAAGGGGCTGAATCAACATGCAACACTGTGGCCGTAGGACTTGCATCCAGAGCCGTAAAATATAAATAAATAAAAAAAAATATTGATTTGAATTGGATGATGAAGTGGATCTCTTGCCTGCGCTAATATTATACGGTGGCGGGGCTCCAGTAATGATTATACAACGAGTACGAGGTCAGGTTGATTAGCTCATCACGTCAAATCCCGAAGAATTAACTATAATGCATTTTTGAGGGGACTGTGCGTGGGGCAACTTTAGACGGTAATACATTTTTAGCAATGGCATTAGTAATTTAATCATAAATATCAGATGAAATGGATATAATGTTAAAATAGGAAGAATAAAATAATTCGTAGTAAAATATATGTACTGTCAGTTTGGCATAAGCGACACCACCTGGATGACAATTATTTTATATAAACAAAGAAAATTATATTATTTTAAAGCAGAAAAGGCACGTCTAAGTTCTTGCGACCATTGCCAACGTATAAGAATCCAGCGTCAGGAGACCCTACTTTGTGAAAGAACATCATTCCAGGCCAGTATAGACTTTTTAGGTAGGCAACACTGTCCGACTGTTCCAAAGATAAATTCCAGCAGCCATTAGGAATATCCTGATCTATAGAGTCTAAGAAATCCATGCTGTAGTTGTAATCCTGCCTGGTGAGGAGGTTTGTGTTCCAGCGTTGCTGGGCAGGACGAATGTGTAGGTACGACTTGAGTTGCTTAGCCTCTGCTGACGTCAGCCCGCAATAGTTGGGGCTAATAACAATTGCACCATCAGGTTGCTTGATCAATTGTCCTCTAGCGCATACTTCAGCTTCCTCACAAATATTGCTTATAGTCGCTGCCAAACGACTTTCTTCTTTCATAAACTGACACCTTTCTGGACTGGTTTCTTCTAGAGATTCGTCAAGAACTTTAATCTTGAGCGACGGGTCCCCTCGGAAAGGGAAAGTTGTAAGCAAAGAAAGGAGTTTGTACTTCTTCCTCGGCTTGGGGAGTAGACCCCAGAATTTAAAATTCGTCGTGTAGAAATACTTTCGATCAGATATGGCATCGTTTGTGATTCCAACAGCTATATGGTAATCAACGTCCGCTGCGTACAACTGCCCCCAGTACTGGATGTGAGTGAAGTGGTTTTCAACTTGGAGTAAAGTCAAGGAGTTCTGCAGGAGGGATATCAGTTCGCTCGTCAGCATGACCCCGTTCACGTTTACATATTCTTTGTACTCCCATAACTTGTGAACGTTCATTATTTATTAATAAAACTATTTGTTTAATCATAAAGTTTAGATCACTATTTACGTCTGAACAGTAATAGTGACTAATGACATTAACTTCTTAATTTTTGTTATTTAATGCCAGTTCAATTTTGTAAATAAAACCTACCCAAATAAATTATCTATACATATAAATAAAATTGGAGTGTCTGTTTGTAATATTGAAATAACCGTTTTTTACTACATGCATATAAATATAAATACTGTATATACATCAAAATAACAGTTTTTACAATTTTTGTCTGTCCGTCTTTTTGTTCCGGCAAGTAGGTATATAGATAGCGAAAGATGATGGATTATCCATACCATCCACATTTTTTTTTAATTTTATAGTAATATCTGACGCTTCTTTTGTGGCAACAGCCCTTTGGCGTATTTTTTTTACCCTGTGCCTTTGTTTTAAAAAAAAATATTAAAGTGTATTTTGATGTAAAAAGAAATAATTTCACCTTGTATCACAACAGGAAAATAGCATATCTACAAGACACGAGGGACACCGTAAAAAGACGCCCAGTCTCGTATGACAATTACCAGACATCAAATATTTGCTGGCCCTCTGTCGGTCGTAATTCGTAACTTGACCTCCGTATAATCCAACCTAGTTAGATACCCAGTAGCCACGTAAACAGATCGGTTCAAGGATCTAATTATAATGGAAAATGGCATATAACTTGAGAGGCAATTTAGTTATTTTCACAGATTACGAGTGATCGTGTTGCTTGTTTGTAGACTCGTGGGTGACGTTTGGAAGAAAATATTACGGTAGGTATATGGTACAGTAAAAATTGGTGTTGGATAACGAATATGTTGAGCGATCGTAATGTTATGAGTTATTATGACTTTTGTACCAGCTGTATGATTAATGATTCCAATATTTATGCGTTATAATTCTTTTTTTTTAAGTTTCTTTAGTCATTAGAAACTAATAAAGATAGTTATATTGTTTGTAATTAAGACATATATTGAAGTAATATTTAATTTGCTACTCGCCAATAGATGTCTACTTATACAGTTCAACTACTTGCAGATAGATGGCGCTACTAGTCTTAAATAATAAAATATTAGATTTAAAAATTTGCAGGAGTGTTGTGTATTGAGTTGTGTATTGAGTGTATGCGAGCTATTCTTACCAAGTACTGACGAGACCTAAGAACTAAAAATCTTTACTATCTGGGTCGTGGATTCGATTCCTGTAGAATAGAAACATTTATATTCATGAAAGTAACTTCGTTAAAAAATTATATCACGTACCTATTTTTCTTTGCAAAAAAATGTGTTTCTGTATATTTTTTTCAATGTATAATTATGGAATAGTGCATCCACCTGTATACGCTGGCGGGGCAAAGTGGAGAAGAATACGATGAGCACGAGGTCAGGGCAGTTAGTCCATCGTAACAAATTCACTACAAAATTATCATGGTCATATTTTCTTAATTCTACTACTCATTCGGAACTGATTTCTCTTTTGGTTGTTCAGAATTTTTAAGAATTTTGTGTGAATACAAACTAACAAATTCAAATTCAAATTCAAAATATCTTTATTCTATTACAGACTCAATTGAGTAAAAACAATAATCTTATTAAAAAAAAAATACATTTGAATCGTCATATTTTCTTAATTCTACTACTCATTCGGAATATATGTACTTGTAATGAGTTTATTTGAATAAAGATTATTTCTATTTCTATTTCAAATCAGTCACGGTTATCAGAGCAGACCAGTCCCTACAAGCAGCACTCGTTCACGAGTAAAAAATCGGTAGATAGATACCCATATAATTTATTTGAAAACATGAGCCGTTCTATCACAATCAAATTGTATTTCAATCTTCCGCCATTTGCAATTTGTCACGTCCAATAGACAAAGATAAAAAAAAACAGTGCTTGTCTTTAAACAAAAGCGGTTGTGTCAACGACAACACGTGCGTCAATTACCATCTTCTAACCGTTTAGTGTCTCTTGTCTATGGTTAGTGCAAGTGCGATTCGGCACGCGTCCTCCCACTTGAGAGAGATGAGGGGGAGGCATGGTACGTGAGGCCAGTCTACACCTCCGTGAGATGCAAATGTTGCTTTGCTTGTTTATAGCACGCGCTGTACGTATAACAAAGGACAGATTACAGAATGCTTTGTGTTGTATCATTTTACGGTCCTATCAAAATAGTATACACTTATTTTATTTATTTATGCTCGAGCATACAGCTATGCTCTATATAAATAAATAAACAGAAGTGTCATTTCGGAATTACAAATTAAGAGTTTTTTTATTAAATACATTTCAAAGTACATATGATATTTACATAAAAAAATAATTGCAATTTTTATTTATCTATTACATATTTTCTTTCTTGTTGATCTCTGAAACGGCTTGACCGATTTTGACGGCCATTTCTCTAGCAGATAGCTAATATTATAAGGATGTAATTTAAGCTAACCTTAATTTTAGAAATTTATTTAACAGAAATTTAATGAGGGTCGTAACGTCCAGTAGCGGTGGTCAGGTTTCCGCACTAAATGTTTGTGGTCTCACACATGAGATTTGTAACGGAATTAAACAAAATATTTAAATAGAACAGGCTTCCGCTAAATAACACCTTATTGGATGAAAAATAAAAAAAAAAATTAGTCTTCCAATTTTATCACAATCCTAACGATATATTTCTCTTAAACATATTTGGCTAATGTCCCAATTGCTAGCTATGTACAATATCAGGTTGACTTCCACGCGGTTCTCCTGGAAAGCATCGTGATAAATTCCTAGTCAGTTTGTCAGGATGCGCTAACTAATCTGACCTCATGTTCATCTTATCATCCTCCATTGATGCCCCGCCAGCGTAAACCGTTAGTGCAGGACCAAAATTCCTGGAATTAAATTGTTAGCCCAACAGGGTGGATCATTAGAATAGAATAGAATAGAAAATCATTTACTCAAATAAACTTAATTTAAGCACTTTTGAATAGTCATAACATTTCTTTTATCTACCGCTCATTCGGAAAGCTGTCTCATCATAAGAAGAACAAGAAACTTGTGTGTTGCTCTTTTAAATAATCCTTATAAGTTCACATTTACAGGTCGAAACGTGTGAATACAAACTACCAACCAGCACTAATTTATTTGGGTCAAATATAAATACACAATAAGATTAAATCAGTCGTAGTGATTAGAGCAGACCAGTCCGTTATCAACCATAATGCCATTCCATTATCAAGCATTAAAACAAAAAGGATATTCATTGTCCGTTTTTAATTCGCCATATGCGAGTGATCGATTCAAAGCGCGAATCGAATGGTGTTTCAATCGATAGTCTGTCGTGCGTGTGCGCAATCTGAATGTGATAAGCGGGAAACAATACCCGGTTCCCACCGGCGCGCCCCGGGCCGACCCCACGGTGCCTAATCGCCCTTTTTCTCTGTTTAATTCTTTACCTCTAATTGTTTTCGAACGAGAGGCTGGCCGCCGCGCCCGAGGCATCCAGCCATAATGCAACCAATTAGGGATGTGAAAATGTAATCGATTATTGTAAATATCGATTGTTATAATAAAGAATCGATGTTATAGTTCGATTTGAATGTTTAAATACTTGAGTAATCTTATAAATAGTATAAAAGTGAACGTTTGTATGTATGCATGGATGTATATTACTTTTCCATGCAAAAACTACTGACCGGATTTTGATGTAACTTTAAAGTAAATTTGTGCGGGTGAAACAAAAAAAAAAAATCGCCTATAAACAAAAATATTAGTTTATAATATTTTTGTTTATATGCGATTTTTTCATCCAATTCAAAAGTAAATAGATAAAAGAGTTGAACCACAAAATAAGAACACCTACTAGTCAAGCAGAAAGCAATTTGCTTTAATAATAATCGATTTATTCGATCCGATATCGATTTTTTTGACAATGTCGCACCCTTACCAAACATTTGCCTAATGTTTTCATTAGATATTTGTTAAGTTTATTTTTAGTGTTGCCATTGTTGTGTTACACCGGTAATAACGAGTATGTGAAAAGCGAATCATAATACATCAATTGTGATGTTAATGTTTATAAAATGCGTTGTTTATACAGATCAGTTTTAATTCTGTAACGGTTGCGTTGGCTTTCTTTTCGTTTGAAATAATAGCTTGCAGCGAATAACTTATGTACCCGTTACATCTATACATATAAATAAAATTGGAGTGTCTGTTTGTAATATATTTCAATAACCGTTTTTTATTACATGAGTATGAATATAAATATGGTACATATATCTACCAAAATTTTTTTTTTGCAATTTTTGTCTGTCTGTCTGTTTGTTCCGGCTAATCTCTGAAATGGTTGGACCTATTTTGATGGGACATTTTTGGTAGGTAGCAGATGTAATAAGGAGTAATTTAGGTTACTTTTATTTTAGAAAAATTCTTTTATTAAATAAAAATAAAGATAAATTTCACGCGGACAAAGTCGCGGGAAGAGCTAGTATCCTATATGGTCCAGTAAAATTTTAAATTAAACATAATGTGACCAGTTTTGGCGCAATATATAAAAATGAGCCCGCAAATGCGTGAATAATAATATTCTAAAAGGAATTTTAATTTAAGATAGATAGATAGATTGAATATACTTTATTTGCAACGTACAGTAAAGAAGAAGCACAAACAATATAACAAAGGACACATGTATCGTTACAATAAGGCGGCCTTATTGCTAAAAGCAATCTTTTCAAGGCAACCTTAGGGAAACGGATTGAAACATCGAACAGGTAGGTAAAATGACATGAACAGGAGAAAACTAAAAGGTAACAAATATATAATGATAATAAAGAAAATGATAATAAAGAAAAATAATAATAAATAACGGGAAAGGGATGAAAATATTCAAGAATGGGGTTGAAAAACGCCTTTTTTCAAAATAACGCGATAATATTCTCTGCAACTTGTATTTTAAACATTTTTTGAAATATCTGAAATATATTATCTTGATGGAGATATTCAGTGGATTTTATACTGCAGTAAATATAATTTATTCTCGATCTGATACAGTTGCA